GTAATACGATAGTCCCATGTCTTCCCCCCCCCCCTCCCCCTGACCCCCCAAAAGAAATAATTCTCACAACTGTGAAAAAATGCCAAACTCTCGACAAAAATGACAAACAATTGATTGGTCAATCAGAATCGAATAATTTTCATTTCTTTATCTCTTGGATGTGGTTTATAAGTCATCGGCTACGTGGTCGTATTGCAGGCCTGTCGCTCTACGTCTCTGCATCCGCCCGTCGCCTCGTTTCTTTTTATCATCTCTCTCTCTTTCTCACTCGTTCATGCTCCTTTTTTTCTCTGTCTCCCCCCGCGCGTCCCCTCATTCTCCTCGTTGGCCGCAGTTGTCTCGTCCGTGATGGCTTCCCACCACTTCCAACCACAGTTCCAGGCAGAGCGAGTATACTTTTGCGTGGGTCCCCATCTTCTACGGTCCGAGGGTCACCTCTCACAAGCCCATCTCCTTACCCATCATCACAAAGCCGTGACGAAGCCACAGCCCCGAAGCCCGATTCCCCCGAAATATTTGTCGAAAATGTACCTGCAGGTACACGTCCCCAAAGTAATTTCACCGAATCGCACAGAAAGCTGAGAGCATTCAAGTTAAATGTACGATGGAGGGAACTATTGACCTGAATCCGATGGTCGTCAGTCATAATTTCATCAATTTTTGTGACATTTTCATGGAGGCGAGGGAGAGAGAGAGAGAGATTCATGAATACTTGATGAGAAGTCTTCCGGGGGACAGTGAAACCTCTCAGGAGAGGCTAATTGGGTACTTGGACTGGAAAAGAAAGTCTCCCCCAGTGCTGGGACCCATGAAACCACGGAATCATTCCAACAAGAATACTGCCCACCTCTCGGCAGTTCTACTTTATGCATCTGCAACAGTTATGCAATTATATTTTTTCTCTTCATCCAGCAATTCTCTTTGTACTCAGTTGACACTTGTCTTCCTGTTCTTCCTTAATACTCCATTGACTCTTAATACCGCTCTGCCATTCAAATGGTGAGTCAGTACGTTGAAATTCACGCACCTTGACCTGGTTGGGAACATGGAAGAAATATGAATTGTACAGCACGCTGTTTCCTTATCAATTATCGGTTGATGCGCATGATACCTTGGAGTTATTTTTTTTTCTCTCTTTTCGTTGTTGTAGATCGCTGAGGACGATCGACTGCCAAAGTGTTTGTGCTACAGATGTATGTACAATCTTGAGAATTTCTACGACTTCAGAACAGCCTGTGTTAATGCTGTTGCTGTATTGGAGAGATCTCTACCACCGAGTGATTCGGTAAGACTAAAACATTAGCGAAGTGGTGAATCGTAATGAGTTTCGTTTGAATTTTAACAGTCCTTTCGTTTTTTAATTGTTCATTCGTATCCAAAAATTGAACATGTGCTCTGTTACGTTTCATCACTTCTAAACATCTTTGACAAGCCCCGTTAACGATAATTACATCTGCAGAAAAATGGAGAGGCGCAAAACGACACAGAGAAGCACTTGGAATTGCGTTCGGAGTTACTCAAAGAGAAGGAGAAAATGCCAATTTTGATCCCAGAGGCGCCAATAGTGAATCCAAATGCAGCCCTGGGCACTCCGCCTCGATTAAACTCGGATGGCGAGGCAGATCCCGAGATTGAAGAAGTGATGGACCAAAGTGGAACAGACGAAGGTAAAGAAATACCCTTCCCCTCTTTCCTCACTACTACTGGCCCCTCTATACTGTTAGAAGAAATTGACACTTCATGGACAGTTGGGTAGTAACTTTGAGGATAGTGACGTTCAATTTGATTCGAGGGGAAAAATCATGAAATTTTAGATTGCACTGGAAATTCAATGAAATTGAGAATTTTCGAACTACGGGAAGACGAGAATTCCCTAACTTGAATTTTCAATCAGAACATGTTTTCAAGGAATAGTTGAACAAATTTACAGTTCTCATTAATTTCTCCATAAATTTTGGAATTTTCAATGACAAAATTTTTGAATGTATCTGTCTTCTCTTCCACTCGTCTATTTATTGGGTTTTTGGGTTGTATACCATTTTTCATCATTTATTACTTCATTGTTTCCACCTCAAATAAGTTTTTTTCCATAGTTTATCTATTTTATAAGGCATAAAACCCATTGTTGACTCATTCCTGTCATTTGTCTTTTTTTTTTAACTCTTAACGATCTGAAATTCTCCTTAACTGGCTATCTATTGGTCTGCTTTCCCCTTAATGTGATAAGAATTTCCAAGAAGTATACCTGAAATTTCACATAAAAATTTTCAACTTTGTGGCACATTAAAGATGTCATGTCCTTAAAATGGCATTTTTCAATATTCACTAAAGTTAGTTTTCTTTCCCATTCATATGACTAAAATAAGCCTTATATACAGCCTCTTATGGGGCTATAATTAAATTAGACCTTTCACCCCATCAGGAAATAAAAAAAATCTGAAAGAAATTAAGACGTTGCGAATGACGTTATAAATGTGATGTATGAATAGCAGAGACATCCCCCCCCCCTTCTCCACAGAGCCATTTAATCTCATGCTTCCGTATTTTCTCGGATGTATTAATGCATTTTTCTCTACTAGTGAAGGAAAACAATTAAAAAAAATATTTTTAAAATATTGCTCATGCTTCCGTATTTTCTCGGATGAATTAATACATTTTTCTCTACTAGTGAAGGAAAACAATTTTAAAAAATATTTTTTTATCAAACATGATTGACACCCTTAAGGCATATAACGTTATAACGTCATGTAGCACTGCGTAGAACCCCCCTCCCCCCTCATCCCCCCCACTAATCCCTGAATCGTGTCCCCAGGAATGGACGACGCAGAGGACCGAAAATCCGACGAGTACGAGATGGACATGGAGACGAACCCCAGTGACTTTCTGGAGATGCCCCCAATGGTGACTGACGACGCTGAGGACCCCCACAATCAGCACATACCCACCCCAGCACCCTTCCAACACACCTCAGAGCAGCACGAAGTATACGTATGCTCCCTCTGCAACAAGGCATTCAGCTCCAAGGGTCACTTGTCCCTCCACGCTCGAATTCACGTGGGTGCAGGCGACGTAATAGGCGAGAAAGTCATAACCGACGATCACACATCATACAAACGTCCATACCAGTGTGATTTGTGCAACAAATCTTACTCAACAGCTAAACACAGGTGGGGGCACGTGTCGACAACTCATCGAGGCCATCCAGCAGTCACTTGCAGATACTGTTCACGAATATATTCAACAAGAACAAATCTCGAGGAGCACATAAAGTCGAGACACACTGGTCTCCCCCCACCACCGGAGATGCCTGTGCCCTATGTCCAACAGGACACTAGATATCAGTGCAAAACCTGTCCAAAAATGTACACAAATGTCACAGATTTGAACAAACACAGTAGAGTGTGCCTGGGTGATCGTCAGAGTGAACCCAGTCGAGTGCCTGTTCAGCCCAAGGGCAGATGTCTGATGGACACGTCAGACATGTCGAGTTTAGAGTCCGACGAGGAGAACAGGGAGTACCGAAATGCTGAGGCAAAACTCTCAAAAAATCCCCAGTTAACAATTCTCAAGCAAGCCTTGACGAGAACAGAGGGCCTGAAACGAGACGAGAAGACCTCCCCCTACAAATCTCTGAAATCCACGAAAAATGGCAATGAACAGGAGACGAAAAAATGGTACTGTGAATTTTGTCCTCAGAATTTCACCTCAGTGGATGCCCTCAAGGATCACGAGACAACTCACGACTCTGATAAACCTTACATCTGCATTTTGTGCGAAAAAGATTTTGTCCTAAAGTCGTCTCTCAGTCGTCACATCGTTGCGTCTCATGGAGTTGATCCAGTGCCAATAATCGACAGTGATACTTGTCTAAAGAAGAATGTACTAGCTAAATCAAGGATTGATGAGTTGAAACGTGAGCCGTCCGCCTCGCCATTCTCACCAGAGCCTAGGATAGGTAATGATGACGATGATCCCGAGAGTAGAGACGACAATATGATTGAAATTGAGACTGTATTTGTGTGTGAAATATGCACCAGGGACTTTAACGATCGTGCATCACTCTGGCTGCACATTCGAGCAACTCACAAAGAATTTGCTGCATTTGCCTGTGGTGTTTGTTTGAAAATATGCTCGGATAATGAGCAATTGTTGAGTCACGTTAACATGTACCATGGGGGATCTAAGCTACTGGTGTCTGAGCAGAGAAGGTACAGTTGTACGATATGTGGACGTCAGCATGACTCCAGAAAGAAACTAATGACCCACGTGTCGATTCATAATATCGATCCCACGTACGACCCAGCGAGTTTCGTTCAACTGAACAGCAATTACTACAACGAAAGTTTGAATAACGAGCAAGAGGGTGATTTTGACGCTGAGGACGGGGAGAAGGTCAACTGCTACGTCTGCAGAAAGTCATTTCCCAATGAGGACCACTTGATTCGCCACCAGAGGAATGCCCACAAGAGCGAGCAGAGCGGTGAACCCTCGGCAAATGGAGGATTAAATTCAAATGGTAACAAGGCGCAGTACCACTTGTTCTTCGTCTGCGAGCTCTGCAACAGCTCTCATCCATCGAAGTGGGAGCGATGGCTGCACGTGAGCAGTGTTCACGGTGAGGAAACCTCCATCAGGTGTGAGAGATCAGACTGTGCCAAGATATTTGCGACTAAATCACTGAAGAATGAGCATCTGCAGCACCACTTGCTGCAGGGCTCGTCCCCCAATACCTGCGAAATATGTGGGAAATTGTGGGGCAGCAGAGTGGACTACTGGAAGCACGTGATGGGTGTCCATGCCGACACTGTTCCCCTCATCTGTGGAGTATGCTTGAAGGTATTCCCAGACGTCGTTCAGCTGAGCAGTCACGTAAAGTCGAATCACTGGCCACTGACGAATGGCGACTTCAGTTGTGACATCTGTGGACGTCCTTATTCCAACAAATCGAAGATGTCGAGGCACAGAAAAATACATGGGATTGATAACGACGGGGTGAACAATGGCATCAACGAATCGATGAACGACACTGTTAATTCAGAGCACAGCCCGCCTGAGGTGGACCTCAGCTGTGAAATGTGCGCTGATTTGAGTTTTTCGTCGTGGGAGGATTTGTGCAATCATCGTCGATTGATTCATGCACTTTTCCCCTGTGATCTGTGTAACAAGTGCTATGGGAGGACTTCACACCTGTGGAAACACGTGAATAGAGTTCACAAGGGGCACAAAGACGTGACTTGTTCTTACTGCATGAAAACTAGTGCTTCCAAGGATCATTTAGCAGCGCACATTGCTAAAATTCATCGTTACGAGCCGGAAACCAAGGAGTGCAAGGACACTGGCAGTTATCAATCACCAAGTGCTGAGGAGGATGTCATTCATCACTGCGAGAAGTGTAATAAAGGCTTCCACAAGAGGTATCTCTTAAGACGTCACATGAAAGGCTGTCAGAATTATCGTAAAGATCCTGGGGCATTGCTGACACGATGCAGAGCATGCGAGAGAATCTTCAAGGATCGTGCAAGCTTGCAAAAACATATCGAAAATCATCACAGTAGTTATACTTGTCACTTGTGTGACGAAACAATCACATCGAAATTGGGAATTATGACTCACAATAGGATTAATCACATGAATCATCCTGATTTGACTTGTAGCAGTTGTAAGAAGCTTTTTAGAACGCGAGAGGACCTGGAGTCACATAAGAAGGACCACAAATATCACAATTCACCGAATGTCTGTGATTTCTGTGGTGACACTGTTGAGAATAAATTGAAATTGAAAATGCACATTCTGTCACTTCACAGAAATGAAATTGGGGTTTCTTGTGGGGTGTGTTTGATCCCTATGAAGGACCCGAAGGATTTGAAGAAGCACGTGGAGGACGTGCATGGCAGTATACTCCTGAAGCCAAATACCTGCCAGGTATGTGGGAAACAGTACGCCTCGAAGTGGAAGGCATTCGATCACACGAAGAAGTGTCATGGAAAGGTCTTCAGAACGTGCAAACAATGTTTAGCAGTATTTACCACTGATTCTGAAATCAAACATCACTATGAGCACGTCCACAACGTCCCTAAGGATCAATTATCAGGCTTTGAGAATCACGTGGACGTAGCTAGTAAGCCAGAGGATCCAGTGGCTGTTAAGGACGAGCCGGAAGATGTCGACGAAGAGGACAACTACGAGGAAAGCCCCCAGGTGTCGGAAAAACGCAAGCGATCTGACACCTTCGACTGTGAAATCTGTCCAGAGATATTTCTCAATGATGAAACACTGTCAGAGCACTACAAAAACGTTCACAACAAGGATCCCGAGAGAATGTTCAAGAAGATGAAGACAAGCACAAAGAAGAGGATGAGAGCTAGAGAGAATTTTGAGTGTAAAAATTGCACCAAACAGTTCAGTACAAAAACACTATACTGGAATCACATTGACACCTGCACTAGGAGGAGTTCGAGGGACGATTCAAGGCCTGGTTCTACCTCAATCCTGGAGACACATCTAAAGAATAATAATCAGATTAAGAAGGAGCCACAGGAGGCAGGGATGAATGAATCAAACCTCAACATTCCAGACTTCAATCTCTTCGAGGATATAAATCTCCAGTTATCAGCGCAGAAGCCAATTCCAAATCTGATGCCCCTGTCCCAAGTGAAGATGGCACAGAGCTTGAAGTGCTACAGAAAGGACTCGAGAAAGGTGTACGACGAGTCGACGAATACAGTGTGTGCCTGTGAGGTTTGTGGCAAGCAGTGGCCAGCGAAGAAGCATCTGTGGCAGCATTTGATAAGATTTCATCGAGCTGAGGCTGCTGTCACTTGCGGTGTCTGCTTGAAACTTTGCGCCACTTACAAAGATCTGTCGCAACACCTCAAGGACGCCCACGAGGCCATTCTCACCTGCGAGGGGAATAACTTCACCTGCAAAACGTGTGGGAGGTACCACAATGCGAGGAGCAAACTCTTGTTGCACATGAGCATTCATATTAATAATAATGAGCACGTCTGGTGTTCAAGGTGTGCCACGAGCTTCGAGACGCAGGAGAAATTGGATCAACATGCTGATAAGTGTCTTGTCAAGAGAAGAGAGGCTGAGTCCGAGGATCACAGTATCGATAACGACGACGACATGATGAAGCATGAGAATGAAGAGGATAAGGGGAGCTTGATTGGAGATGGGGCCTCGCTCATGGAGGAAGTGGAGGAGGACGTTGATTTTGATTCTGAACAGGAGGGAAGTGATAATGGGGAGAACACGGAGCATTCTGAGGACTCTGAGGATAGCAGTGACTCTGGGAGTGATGAGGATAATGACGAGCAGGAGGAGAACGAGTCGAGGGCGAATAGCAGAGTCACTGGGGACGTCAGTGAGTCCGAGGAGGAGGATGGAGATTCAGATACACCTGAGGCAGTTTCTGAAGTACCTGAGGAGAGAGTACCTATGAAAGATAATGAATCGAGTGTTGTACCTGAGGAGAGCGAACAAAGGGAGGTGGAGAAAGCGTCAAAGCCTTTGAAATCTGGTAAAGGGGTCAAGGGGAAGCCCGAGGGCAAGTCTAGAGAGGACTCTGATGATGAGGGGCCACCGATATTGAGCCCCATGATGCCACTACCAGCTGGGAACCAGCGTGGTGTTGCTGAACGTCCTGAGGAGGAGAACTCTGAGAAGATGAGGCCAGAGGGGTCACCGAGTGTCAAGGAAGAGGGGGAGGAGGACGAAATTCCAGAGCTGGATGGAATTGAGAGTGGTGAAAAGGAGGGTCTGTCTCCACACTCTAATGGGGATTATGATGAGTACTCCTCGACTGTTAAATCAGCGAGTGCAGTGGCATCTGCTGAGGAGGACTCTAATGAGGAGATGGACGATGATGACAGTCGGCTGCAGATCGATCAGACTGGTGAGTCCAATTCCCAGGGGTCTGAGGCGGAGGAGGAGGAGGAGGGGATGGCTGTGGCTGATGAGGAGGATGAGGGGGATGACGAGGAGGGAGGTGAGGTACAGATGGAGGGACTCGATGGAACTGTCCTCGTGGTTGCCAATGATGCTGATGGCAATCAGATATTGATTCGACGGAGTGTCTCGGAAATGGGGGATGATGAGGATGATGAGTCCATGGGGGAAGTGGAAGGATTTATTTATCAGGAAGAGAATGAGAATGAGAATGAAAATGAGAATGAAAATGAAAATGAGAATGAACATGAGAGTGATGATGACAACGAGAATGAGAATGAAATCCAGGAACATGATGTGGACGAGAATGATGAGGAGGGCTACAACAACGAAGTTGATAATGATGTTGAGGAGGAAGTGGAGGAGATGGAGGTGGAGGAGGGCGACAAGACTGGTGAGGAGGGGGACGACACTGATGACAATTCAAGTGCCAAAAACAATGTGTCAAGGACGTAGTTCCAGTGATTATTTCACACTTTGGTTTATTTACGTGTGAGAAATGATAGCACGTGATTTTCAGGCCCTTTTCAAAGACTTTTTTTTACGATTGTTGTATTCGAGTAGGTTAAGAATGTACAGTAGGGATTTTTAAGGTTTAAGGAGGAGGAAGATGGGGTGGAGATGAGGATTTGATTTACGAAGGGGATGAGGAGGGAGTGGGAACATAAGATTGTATGTTCGATTTTCTTGGAGTCACTTGGGCATTGCTATTTCAGCCCAAAGACACTTTGCGAAGAGGAAAATTGTTTGAATCATTGATTGATTGATTGCGTTGTGCTGGTGTAATGAATGCTATGTAAAATTATCGTTCGTCTTTTTTTCTGGACAGCACACGTTTTGTGACAGTCGATGTTTGATTTTTCTTTTCTTTTTATTTATTACACCTCATTCATTCCAAAGTAACGTTAGGCCTTGGGCTATTAACACATGTTATTTTTAGGGTATTTGATGAAATATATGTGAGCTTAATCGATGATTTTTTTTTTAGACTAATTTGTTTTTCCTTCATGAGCTCTCGATTCTCGTTCTGGGATGATTGAGATTGAAATACGAAATCGTTTGTAAATACTGTAGCATAATGCTGAGGATTAAAATTAGAGTAAAGACTAATCGACGAAAAACGAAGAAAATCATTTCCATTTTACATGATACGTGAATTGACAAATGATCGGTAAATTTACATACTTTATCGTTGATAGAATTGGATAACTGAGTAATGAGTCACTTTATATTTCTGCCAATTCAGACTATTCATTAGGAGTTTAAGGAGTAGTGGTAAGAGTGAAACTTTGGAAAATTCAAGGGAAGAAAACAAAATTGTATATTGTGATAAGCGATTCGCTGCGCCATGTATAAACAAATACTATATATTTACTAAATGATAGTTTGAGGATACAAAATTCAGGGTGATGATTGATGTATATACAGAACAAAGAAACATGGAAATACGAATTTCAGAAATAAACAAGTGGTATTTAAAATTTATTTCATTGGTATTGTTTACACACCTATATTTCCAGTTCCACATCTTGCTGTTGGATTCAAATTGGATTGCTCTCCACGTGGTTCTACATTTTGGAACATTTTTTTAAAGGATTATCCTTTTAAAAATGAAACTTGATTAAAAAATAAATGATCATTTTCTGTTGGCGTCGAAAGAATTTTCGATTGTTTTCACATTTAATGACATGAAAATCAACTTTTAATTTTTATTGGCAATTAATTGCAATTGCAATTATTTTTTTGTTGCAGAATAAGCTGTGAGATTTAAATGCTTAAAAAAAACAAAAATGACTCAATTAATTATTCAAAACATGCGTCATTTACTATATGGATTAAATCAATATTTTTCCCTTCTAATTACAATTTTATACTCGAGGAATCGAATGTTTACTAATTTGATTCAAACATTATTTTAAATTCTCACTCAAAATTGGATGATATCCTAGCAATTTCTTTCATCAACCGATGATTCATGGGATCCCCACAGAGTTCTCTGCGTGTCACTTCTCACATTCCAACTTTTTCATTCATACGCCTCTCTCACTCGCTCCGCCTTTTCCGGTGGTTCTGTAGCGCGTGAAAGGTAACGAAAAATCTCGTGGAATCGAATCCCAATCAATCCACCCCGAAAACAATGCAACAATTCATATTTTCGTGACATTTATGCTCGCCAGCGTGTGTTCTTCAATATTGCAGTGATATTTTTTGGATTATGGATCGTTAAACAATATCCAGGGTTTGATAACCTTACTCTGAACGACGTGTACCTGTCAGGCCCATTCTGCCCCCAGTTTGTGGCTTAGACTGTGAAGAAACGTGGAATTTCCTTCAGGAGTGAAATTTCCCATCAACCAATTATTTCAGAAACTCCAGTTCTTTTCAATTTTTTTTGTGTTGAATTTTCTGTTGCTCTAACCTCAATGGCGAGCGCATAAACATTAGGAGTTGCTTAACAATTGTCCATTGTTTTCGTTCGGGGATTGGATTATGGATAAAGTGAGTAATAGTATTGAGAATTCTTGTATGAATAATTTAATTATTTTTCAGCTGCAGCATGAAGCAAATTGTGACGAATCAAACCGTCAAGATCCCTGAGGGATTGACTGTAACAGTCAAATCCCGAAGGGTAACCGTGAAGGGACCCAGAGGTACTCTCAGCCGCTCCTTCAAACATCTGGCTCTTGATATCCGTGTAAGTACCTCCCCAAACCAATAAATCTACTTTTCTCGAAATTAACTCGCTATTTTTTTTATTCAGAGCATTTTAATCTATTCGTTGATTTCGCTGTGTAAAATAGAAACATACATACATAGTTAATACGTACATAATGAATGTTTATAGATGATGGCTTTCTCTCTAGTTTTATATTCAGTAATTATTTTATATATTTCAATTTTGACAACATCTAGAAAGCGTCAATAATTGATTCACTCTTTATAACTTCAACCTTGAATAATGAAATGATAGAATGAAATGAATCAACTCAATTTCAAATTTCATGAGATTAGCACATATTTACAAATTTTAGGGGTCGTAAAGCAAAACACGTGAAGATCTTTTTGTACATATCTCTCTCTGCTTTATTAAAAAGCTTTTCAAATGAAATTGATAGTCATTCTAATCATTTTAGAGTTCATAAATTCATAATTCGAGTTATTTTTTGCCTTGCAGTCTCCTGAAATTACTAAACTAATAACCTCATCTTGGAAGAAACATGATTTATTTATTGTTAAGCCTATTTTCACATTGTACAAATTATTTGACTGCAGTTGGTATTGTGCTATTGCATCTATTTTCCAGAATCTAATCTTTACGTCAAATCCAGTTATGTTTTGCGACTGAAAACTTGATATTTCATAAGGACTTTTTTAAAAATTATACTTTGCTCTCAAAAAAAGTTGCCCCCAAAAATTACGCTTCTTTCTTAAATTTAGGAATATTTATGAATAAAAAACTCATCTCAATGGGCCATTATGTTTCATCGTTTCACCATTGAACTGTTCGAATTTAATTCTCATATAATGATGATTTGTTTGGATTCCCCTTCATTTAATTATAAATGAAACATCCATTTCTGATTTTATGCTTTCATCCTTATGAATTTTCGAGGTTTATGATGATTTTGGTGATTTAAATTCAATTTTTTCTTTGTTGTAGATGATCAACCCAAGACTCCTGAAGGTCGAGAAATGGTTCGGTAAGAAGAAGGAGCTCGCAGCAGTCAGGACTGTGTGCTCTCACATCTCCAACATGCTCAAGGGTGTCACCAGTGGTTACATGTACAAAATGCGTGCGGTGTATGCCCATTTCCCCATCAACTGTGTCACCACCGAGAACAACACGGTCATTGAAATCCGTAATTTCTTGGGTGAAAAATTCATCAGGAGGGTCAAGATGGCGCCCGGAGTTACTGTTAGTAACTCAGCTAAACAAAAGGACGAGCTGATCCTCGAGGGTAACTCGTTGGAGGATGTTTCACGATCAGGTAAGATCAATGCAAAATCATGATTTCTCATTATTTTATTAAAATTTATTTGTTGGTCACAAGGAAAAAATTATCCAATCGTTTTTTCACTCTTTCTTTTCAGCTGCCCTTATTCAACAGTCAACGACTGTCAAAAACAAGGACATAAGAAAGTTTTTGGATGGTCTTTATGTATCTGAGAAGACGACTGTTGTCCAAGAAGAGGAATAAATGTTTCTTACAATAAATATAATTAACGATAAATTGCTTTTTTTATTTGAATTTTGCCCCTCAGAGCCTTCATTTTCAATTGAAACTATTCGAATAGCTGTCCGGGATTACAAGGATTAAAAAAATTACGATCCGAAATTTTTTATCGATTTTTTTTCTCAATCCTGACATTTTTCACGGCTTTCAACAGAATACGAGATTGGTTTTTTAGGGAATATTTTAAGATTTTTTTTAGAAAGTTTAAAAAAAATTTAAGAATATTGAAACATTTGTCAAAGGACCGAATATTTTTAGAAGAATCCGCAATTCTTTAATTTTTATCTTATTTTCTGGATTGTCTGTTCATCTTTTTCTGCCATCAATAAATCGGTTGGGTATTTTTAAATCCTCAAGCTAACAATAATCGTACCAACAATATCCTGTAAACACCAAAGAAAAACTACTAGAGTCATTTGGTGATTGGTAATTTGATGCATAGGATCAAGATTGGTTGGGTTTTAAATTTAGAACTGTTGAATAAAAACGTTGGGAATTGGAAAAATACGGGGATTGTTCTTTTTCACCCTTACAAAAATAATATCGCTAATATTGACCGCATATTGGCCCAGAGGAGGAGTAAATACGTCGATAATAACTTAAACGGGTTGAATTCGTTTAATTTTGGACACCAGGTCTAATTTATTAAAAATCGAGGGATGAGGATTAATGATTCTTCCAATTAATTCAATAACATTGTTCAATGGAATACAAAAAACAACTTCAGAAATAGTTAATCATCATTTATTATTTAATTTATACACTTACATTTTCTTGATCGTTCTTGATTATTCCACCGATTTCATGAGAAAAGGAAAACCCCCTGAAAATGCATTTTCCCCGGGAAAAAAAGTTCATTTATCGTAACAATGCTCATCTGCACTCGATCCCGATGGGAAACGAACAAAATAAAAAAATCAATCAATCCGGCGAAATAGGAAAACATCTGGCAACTGGTTCACATTGGATAGTACATTGAGGGAAAATCAGAGACACAGCCATTGAGCTTCATTAATCAGGCCACATTTTCCCAATTTCCATCTTTGGAAACAAAAATCATGTGAAATGTTCTTATTCATTGATTCGTCCTCTATTATCCTTGATTCACGAGAAGAGTATCTCAAAATCATCCATGTCGGAATATTCCCCGGAGAAATCCATGTCGGGGGAGTAATCGCTGCCATTCGTTGAATTATCTCCATCAATGCTTGAATCGTCGTCTCCATTGTCTTCATTCAAATTCATATCATCACCATTGTCCCCGCCATTTGCATCAGCATTATCACCATCTAAAAAATCAAATCGGAAATAGAATTATTTCCCTATTTCAATGATTTCATGCTGCTAGTATACTTTATCGAAAACCATCATAAAATCCTAGAATAGTACCAATACGTCTTTTCAAATCCTGAAAATTAATAAACAATCCAAAAAAGACAGCCTATTAAGAAGTAATGTTTATTGTGACGTCATTATGAATTACATTTTGCATAGAATTATTATTTTTCGAAGCATTCTATAAATAAATAATTTAAATTGTTTAAACTATCGGAAACTCAATTTTTTTAGGCATGAAATCGACTTCTGGTAAAATTTTGAATATGAATAAATTTGTTATGATTCCGAACAAAATGATTTTTACGATGGAAAATTAATTATTTACAAATTATTTGCAGAGAATGCTCGTAATTTTCAAAAATTGCAATTTTTTAATTATTCCATCAATCTTCTTCCAAAATTAAACTTTATAATTTTTTTTCCAGATTATTAAACTGTTTTCTCTCACGTCCAGCTAAAAAAGCATTTGACTGGAGAAAAAACTAGCCAAAGTACTTGAATACCCCTTAAACAATGAAAAAATTTCCCGCAAAAGCCATCATTTAAATACCCCATCCCCTTCAAAAGTCAAAAAAATTACCTGCATCATTATTGTCATCAGATCCAGAGTTCGACCCATCATCATCGCTAGCATCCATGTCCTCCTCCTCCTCCTCCTCCGCCTCATCCTCATCATCCCTCCTCCTCCCCACATCATACAGTCTGACACAAGACTCCTGAACACTATCATACTCTCCCTGATTCTCAACAATCGCAATCTGCGTATCATATTTATTACAAGCCAGACTGCATATGGACCTCCTCACATCATAAGTAGCAATACTGCTATAGTCCAACGCATCCAGTGTCTTGAACGAGGTCACATAATTCGACTCGTCCTCAGTGTCCTGATCCAACGACACCGCATAAATAATATGATTAATCGGCGAGAAAATGACATTCATCTGATCCAGTGCAGGCACAGTCTTCAATAAATGAAAAGTCCTCAAGTCCCAGACCTCAGTATTGGAGACCACCTCCGTCCCATTGGGATGGAAAACCCCATTGAGTGTCTGATTCAACTTATCGAACTTATGAATCTCCTTCCCAGAGTTAACATCCCACAAAATCCCATCACTCAGCACCAACTCGTCATTCATGCTGAAGGTGGCCCTATTCTTAGTATACTGATTCGAAATGGAAGGTGTCAACGTGTTCAACAGCTTTCCACTGGCAATATCATAAATCGTAGCGCTCTCCCCCTGCGTCCCAATGATCCTGTCCTGCATCTTGCTAAACTCCACGTAATCCTCATTCTCAAAAGGCATTTTCATATCGAAGAAGGCCCCAATGCTCCACAGCGCAGACATGGGGCTCCTCCAGGCAGTCGAAGTGAGCATGAGATTTCCCTTTCGATTGCACTCCATGTGATAAATGTAGGACTCGTGACACTGATAAGTAGCCTCCTCATTTCCAGTATTAGCATTATACATTTTAACATCCCCCGAGTAAGTACCAAGCATGAGATACTGCTGGCAAGGGGTAAAAGTGCAACAGGTGAACGTCCCCTCGACGTCAGCCGGACGGAACGACTTGACCGGGCAGAATCTACTGTAGATGTGCCTTCTGTCCAGTCGCCTGTCATCGATCCCCAGCTGTCTCCTGGCGACCCTCATCGTCATGTTGGTGGCTGCTGAGTTCTTCGCCCTGGGATCAGGACACTTGTGCGGCTCAAACAGATTAAACTGTGGACACGTCACCATAGGGTTCTTACAGAGAGCATGCTGATTCGTGAGGTACTCAGTGATAATTGAATCCAAACTTATGATAGACGACATGTTTCCAGTGGCCAGTGTCCCCCCACCGCCACCAGGATCCCTCGATATTTGTTTCTGCAGTGATCTGCAGGTGCTGGGAGACTGGAGAATGGTCTGCAAACTGGACAATGAACTGCAGGTCTGATGTTTCTCCTGCTGATTGTGTTTCTTCTGATGAATCTGCAGCTTCATCGGTTGAATATTACTATTAACTGGACTCGCATTAAGACAATCTGATAATTTAATTCTAGACGAAGGCTGACTGGCTGTGGGAGTTGTATTTGGTACGTGAGTGATGAATCGAGAAGTCGACGATGTCGGGGTTTGCAGGGGATTTGGTCGAGTGTTGCCCTCTCTGGGGCATCTGCTCGTGTTGTACAGATTCACTGGAGCTCCTGGGGAAAATCCAGCGCGTGTGGTAGTCACTGGACTCCTGAAAGTCACAGGATGATAACAAGTCACTGACTTCATAATGGGGTGAGAGTCCAGGTTGACCTCTCGTTGGAGGGTCGCAGCAGTCTCAGTCAGCCCCTTGGACACCAAGTGCTGATAGATCAGCTGATTTAGCTGCTGCTCGTTGTACTGTATCCTCGTCTGTGCCACGACATTAGCACGATGGAGACTGACCAAGGACATCTCGTACTCAGCCCCAGTGGGCTTTGCCTTCCCCGAGACCCGCTCCATCAGCTCCAAGGCGTACTTCTGAAAGGTCACATGCTCCTGACGTTTCTCCTGGAGGATGGGGTCCTTCATCAACGCCTGGATCTGCCCATCGGTGAACATCGGGAGTTTCGAGATGATCTGCCTCACCTTTTCACTCCTTGCTAATCCTGCCAGAGCCCTGCAAGCCAGAGCCCTTATGCTGTCGGCATCTGTGATAGGTGTCTTCACCATCATCAGTTGAAGTAAAACCATAATCCCATTGTTCGATCTGACGCTCTCCCAGACCTTCTGAATGATCTCCTCGCTGTTCTGGATATTGGCTTTCTTCTTAGCAGATCCAACAACAGAAAATCTCGCTAGATTTCCACCTACCCTGCTCAAGGGTGCACATACGCAGTTGACAACAGCTCTCAATGCAGCCCTCTGGACATCGGCATCAGCAATGATCTCGCACTCAGCAGCAGCCAGAAGTAGATTAATCGCCATCGTCATGGACATGTCTGGCATGTCCACTCTGTCACACAAAAGCAGCATGACTTTAGGAACAACCGAACAGATGGCTATGACATCCAGGCACGATCGAACAGTCTCAGCGCTGGATGACGTGTGGGCACGTCCGTTGTAGTTCCACTCACGTGCGAAAGCGATGATCTGGAGGAGGAGGGTGATGCCCCCCAGTCTGTGGAGCTCCTCCACAGGTGCCCAGGAGGCTCTGCAGTTCATCAGCTCCTGGAGGATTTCCACTTTCGACTGGACCTCCTCAGAGGAGAGTTTGCAGGCTTTGTAAGGGAGGATTGAGGGCTGCCAGGTGTCCTTCTCGACCTTGGCGTTCTCCATCCTCTGGAGCTGCTCAGCCTTCAGGTATAAGTGAGCCTCCATGTACCTTTTCAGAGCCACTGCAACGTGCCTCACTATTTGCCTCGATGCGCACTCCTCATCGTCGTTCAGTGTCGGCTCTTCCTCGATATTCAGAATTGGGAGGGTTGATATAACGTTGTAGAGCTTTCTGAGACCGTCCTGGGCGTCGAACTCCTCGAGGATGACTTTGAAGGGAAAAGAAAAGCCAAAGAACATGGTGGCATGGCATCTCCCAGAGTCGTGGCTTCTTTCCAGAAGCCACAGAGCGTACGTCACTAGATCAGAGATTATGTGCTTCGGCAGGAGGCACACCCTCTCCATGGCGTCCTCGCAGTACGCCAGGTAGTACAGGCAGATGGAGACCCCAGTGGCAGCTACACTCGGTCTCGGTACGTCCAGCAGCTTCTGCAGTCCTCCCACATTCAAAAACTCTATTGAGAATTTTTTGTGACAGAGGAGGGAGGCTAGGTACTTCAGGGCCTCGAAGGCCAGTCGACTGTCCTTGGTTTCTCTGACGTTAATGTACTTGAGGATGAGCTCAAGGGCGCTCTGCTCGAACACGTGGCCCAGGAACTCCTGGTACTCTCCCATCGGTGTTAAATATCTCAGGATCAACATCTGTCGAGTGGCCAGGGTTGGTGGGTGAATCTGCACATTTCCAATGACGTAGGACTCGAGCTCTGCCCAGGAGGAGTTGGAGTTGCCTTCCAGGAGCATCGAGGGGGTCGAGGAGGTCTGGGAGAGGCTTCTGGGGACGCTCGAGCGAGAGGGCCCTGTGAATTTTGGAGGCGTTGCTCGAGTCGACTGTTTTGAAGGCGTTGTTTGGCTGTTGGGGTGACTCTGGGATTTTGGGATCGACTGGGGTGGGGACATTATCTCGGGGTAGGAAATGGGTTTCACTGAGGTCGAGGGGTCCTCTGGGTCGCTTTTGAGCTTTTTAGTGGGCGTCTCCTCTGCACTGTCTGCCTCCTCCTCCTCAGAGCCGAAGAGGGCGTTGGGGCTTTTGGCCACTCCATTCTCTCGCTTTTTGTCACGAACTTTTCGCTTCCCTGGGACCCCCTTGTGCTCCCCATCTCCGAAGGAGTTTCGTGTCTGGCCGAAGTGGGCGAATGGACGGGAGTTGGAGGATGTCTGGCGGTCCTCGTGGGCCTTCTCCTGGAGCTTGTGCAGGCGCTGGAGCATCAGGGGGACCATTCGACCGTTCTGCTCGCGAAAACCAGTTGCTATGTCCTGGACTTCCATCGCTGCTGCGAGGAGCCCTGTGGCGTAACTTTGGAGGGGCTCCACGGATTTCTCCGCCCAGGTGAAGAGACGGTGGATCAGGCCGTCCATGTCCGGCTGGAATACTGCGGAGGTTTCTAGACCTGGGAGGATGTCCAGCATCAATCGGCAGGCTGCTATGTTCAGTTTACGAACGTCTCGACCTTGGATTCCTGCGCGAGACCAGTAGGTGTCTCGGAGGTAGTCGTTTATCAGCTTGGTCATAAAGTTGTCCTTACGAAACAAAACCTTGAGTATGTGACCAAAATTACACTCAGGATCGGTTCGTGATGGATGCCTCTCATCGAATGGATCTGGGTCCATCTTGAGGTAGTTCTCAGTCTCCAGTTCTATGATCTCAGCTAATCTCTGGAGTGTAGGAATGGGGTCGTAACTCGGCGATGTGTGATCCTCCTCCCATTGTCGCAGTATCTGCACCACGTCATTAATCTCAGCCAGTGATTCAACAGTGGCCATTATAAACTGTAAATAAACATCGAGTGATCAACATCAACAATGGATTGTAAACAAACAGTACAAAAATTCACAGATCACTGGAAATGGAGGGAAATTCCGCTCAATTCCCCGCGAATACCTCTGAATTATGCTCAGTCATTCTTCATCCATTCCACATCTATTCAAAATAACCTAGTGATGGAATGAATTCGAAGCAAGTAGGTCCTAACCTCAAAATTTAATCCCAAATAAACTGGCAAAATCCACGAAAATTTTGTTCCCAAGAATTTTCCAATTTTCTGAGAACAAAAATGAGCGAAAAAAATTATCCAAAAATCGGAATATCATCGGTACACATAACAAATTAATTACGATGACGAAATCCAATTGGAGCAAACGTGTATCGCGTGCAGTTGACGACTAGGTTATACTCAATGATGACTGCCGACGCTGGCCAGAGGTGTTATAAAAATTCTCCACCGACTGACAGCTGCCGAATACCCTCCAAAAGCCCTCCCAAGCCCCTACATACCTCCTTTATTATTACCTCCACTCCCGATAATCAATAATCAGGATGAATAAATTGTTTAGAAACAAAAATACGTAATTATTCCAACTGATATTAGAACAAGGGGAAATACGGTCTAACTGGGGTACGCGTAATTCGTCGACTGAAGGTTCTCTTTCTGATCCACTCGCTAAAAATGCGAGTGGAATACGCATGGGAGGCGGGAACCAAGTCAAGTGGGTGTTTGAATTTGAATTTACTATTAGAGGGCACTAGTGTATACATTTCAGATCATCAATAAACAAAATTTTTCATGAGAAAAATAATGTCAATAACAATGTTAAGTTTAATTTCAACTGGAACAATCAACTTTTTTCATTTGTTTACGTAATAATTCAGTAACGAAACGGTAAAACGGTGCAAGTCGACTTAGCTTTTAGCTGAGATTTCGGGGAATATCTCCGAATCTAAGGGAGATAGCGAAATTTTTGTTAAAGTCTTTTTCGTAGCTCTTAATTCGCTCTACAAAAAAGGTTATTACGAAAATTTTGCTATCTGCCTTAGATTCCTAGATATTTATGGAAAACACTACTGAATTTCGTTAATTCAGTACATAACGCAATTAGTATGTAAATTTTATTTTGGGCGAGTGAGAGAAAGTCTTGATAAACTACTTTCGATCTTATATTTGAAGAAACTTGTTCTCAGTCATTAGCGTTATATGAAATGCGAATTCATTGGGATAATTATCCACTTGTTTACATAATTATGTGATTTTAGGTGAAAATCGAATTTCCATGTTTCACTTGAAAATTTGACTTTGTTTGGATTTTTCGATGCGCCTATGTAGACTAGGCAGGGATATCGATATATCATTTTGAAGAATAATCAATACTCTATTTGATTTAATTCAATGTCCACTAAGTTATTGCAGATTGTTTCCATTTTTGACGTTCTGTCACAATTCCGAATGACTTGACTGGAGAAATACAGGATTGAAAAAATAAATACTTCCCTCAAGTAGAGGAGGATGGGGTAAAATAGACACTGGACTTTTTTAAATTTGGGGAGGTTGAGGTAAAATGGACACTTCTGACTTTTTTTAAAACGTTAATGAGGGGTTGAAATGTTGATAAAATTTAATAATTTCTTTTTAATACAAAGAACAATTATTTCCCGCTGTGACGAGCCTAAACTGAGCTTAATTGATAAATTTGTTTCTGAGTTATGAATAATTGAAAAAAAGTCTAAAGTGTCCATTTTACCCGATCCTCCCCTACTCATAACTCAGAAACAAATTTATCAATTGAGCTCAGTTTAGGCACAAAGGGAAAGAACTGTTCTTTGCATTGAAAAAAAAAATTGAATTTCATCAACATTTCAACACCATTTGAAAAAATATTTTCTTTCTCAGTTTAAAACGCAGCTTCTTCAGAAACAAATACGTGTAGAACTATCAAAGAACGAAGAATTATTGCTAAAAATAGTATTTCTTGCTTGCCCAGAGTAAAATTTTTCGAACCATCTAAATTCATTTTTGCGTCAAAATCTGTTCATCTCAGGACAGTCGTCAAATAGTTAGCACTAGATTTTATATTTAGCTAATTTTAAACCGGCGATTTTCTCGTCCCACTAAAACCTGTTTGAGAAAACATTTATCTCTCACTTTGTAATTTCCCCGACGTGAAACAACTCAATCATTTAAAAAATAACTTGAAGATTTGACAGATATACCCGACGCAGGCGCGAAGTGTTGAGCATCCCACGTGGTGCCCCCCCCCCGCCGCGCCACCCGCGAACAATCCAATGAACCAAAACCAGACATCAGTCGTCCCGCGTCCTGTCTCCAATCACTCCGCACGAAAATAATCGAAAAGTTCGCCCTGTCAGATCGATTAATTCTGTGTTAATCGTAAATAATCCTAATTACCCCTTCAATTAAACCCGTTTGCGTTCGTCTAATGTGTTCACGCACTCGTTCAAGTAATTCCTAGAATATAACCTCACCCGTCAGTGTCCTGTGAATGCAATGATCAGTGCGTTGTCCTCCAAAACGTAACCGAGAATAATTCCCCTCCAGAATAATTGAATCCCCTTGAGAGCATCAACCCTCCCCCAATGCAATGACATCACCATGTCCAAGCGTTTTGGAAAGGGTCTCGAGTCAGAAAGCTCGTCTCCAGCGAAGCGAGCGAAGCTAGAGGTGCCAAAGCCCCCGACTATTCCAAAGAGACCGTCGAAGGAGGAGGACGACCTATGGGGGGACGATTTCCTCGAGGAGGACCTCGAGCAGATAGACTTGATAGCGTCGCAGGCATGTTCCCAAGAGGTAAACGTGTCCACTGTGGATTTGAACCACCGTGAGCCCAGGAGCATCGTCAAGTACGGGAGCTCCTTGCTGCCAGGGCCCTCGACATCAGCAGGGCCTTCCACCTCAGGACTGATCAACGGAAGGAGATTCACGAATGGAGCCGGCAGTAGAAGGCCAGAGGCGCCAGCACAGCCACTGGCCAAGCACCAGAGGCTCAACTCAGACTGGAGGCCTCCAGCGTCCCAAAAACTGGGATCTTCAGAGGTGACTCGAGAAATTGACGACCTCCCCACGATTGACCAGTTCAAGGGGGCATTGATGTCCCGATCGAACCTCAACTCCACGTTTCAGAGCCAAGTCAGCAGTCAGGCGAGTCGAGCGGAGAATGTGGACCCACAGGTCAGGAATTGCCATATTCATAAATCATAATTAGGGGAGGGTAGGGTAAAACGGACACTTTTGACTTTTTTAAAAATATTCGTAACTCAGAAACAGATTTATCAATTGAGCTCAGTCCAAGCTCATCGCAAAGAGGAATCATGGTTTTTCAATTGAAAAATAAAATTATTCCATTTCATGAACAATTCAACACGTCATGAATATTCAAAAAAAAGTCAAGTGCCAAAAAAGTCAAAATTTAATTCATCATCAATCGCAAATTTAAATTATTAATATCATACTATTTTTATATGTTGATGAGAATATTTGAACCTTTATCGATGTAAGTCGCAAATTCCTTTAATATTGATGGCCATCCCTCCCACAGGTGCAGGTGCTGACTGGAGAGCTTTATTACTGGAAGGAGAAGCTGAAAAAAACCGAAATGAAGGCTGAGAAGGAGAAAATTGAGAAGGAGAAGGCCCTCCAGGAGGAGAAGAGGAAGTGGGAGGACAACATCAAGGCGTTGACTAAGGAACGAGAGAACCTGAAGACCCAGTACGACCTCCAGGCCCTTCAGCTTGGCAGTCTCATGGAGAAGTGTAAATTACTGGAGACGAATGCTGTTAAACTGGTGCAGCCGTCAACTTCAGCTGTCAATTCACCAAAGAATAAGATCGCGAGGTGTGGGTCTGGGTCCAGGGCTGTCAAGGTTGAGAGCAGTGTCCAGGTGGACCTGCATTCAGGGTTCCAGGGGGAACTGGAGGGGGAACTGAAGACGATGGCTCGTAGCTATCCTCTTGAGGGGATTCCTGAGGCGACTTTCGAGGCTCCTGTCCCTGAAAAGGCTGTGGTGGATGTCAAGGTTGTGGAGAAGATTGGACAGAAGAATCTGCCGATCCTTCAGGAGGAGGAGACCTTCAGGATCTTTGAGAATCCCGAACTGGTTAAGCCGATTGTGACTATGGTGGATGGGAGACAATTGAGTACTGCTTTCTTCTGGAGTGATGTTACTGGGATGATAAGGAAGACTAGCGTGGAGATTAATTCCAAGGACTGTTTTCCTATGATTAATAAGGTAAATCAATGGAATAATGGTGATGAGGTGATTTTTTTTTTGATGATGTTGAATGGGATTTTTCTGTTATGAAATGGACTCTACAAAACGAAAAATTTAGGTTGATTTGGAGTTATGAAATTGAAAAAAAATTGTGTTAACAATGAGGAATTATTAATAATTAACGAATTTTTTGGTCAAGTTATTTGAATTACCTCCAATATTCATTGAATCGATGAATGAAATTATTCGACATTCGTTACGTCAAAGAAACCCAAGAATACAATTCCACTCGCTACAATGGAATTGATTTCAAAGCGCAATAAATTTCGATTAACTTGGGTTCATAAAGCACACTTTAATCTAATATAACGCGAATTGCTCAATTGAATCAATATCAATCTCAGTTGATGACTGTTAAGTCATTGAATCGATTCATCAAATTATTTGACATTTGTTACATTCGAAAATCCTAAAAAAACAGTTTTCCCTAAATTAATGTTTCTTCTTTCAATTCATCAGACGTTACAGTTTTCAACAAATTCTCAGTCAAAAGAGACTTACTCTTTGATTAATCTATATTATACAAAAACAACGGAATTGTACTAAAATAAAACTTCTTAATAATTTTCCATTCTACTGAATGGAAAATTATTATTCTCACCAGTACGCCCAATAATAAAAAGAAGTTAATAAACAAAAGTTAATAAACAATTTTTTTTCTTGAATTGCGTCAAACAGTAGTTTTTCGACTCTTTCATTTTGCCTCACTCTCACCTAATTTCTCCTGAATAACTATTCCTCCCTTTTCTTCCAGATTATAACAATTACTCGAGAACTCTTACTAAATGCCACCCTCGTCCTCAAGAAGATTTTTACAGCAATGCAGAACGACGACATCAGAGACATGAACGATCTCTACTTCTCGGACTTCTACGACACCCAGATAAATTACTCTCAGTCGTTGCAAGACGCCAACCCCTGGTACAAAGAGGAGAGAGGGATCGAGGCGAGACGAGCCTTTGGGACTCTCTCCTACATCGCGAAAACCTCGAACTACCTCAGTGAATACATCACAGGGAAATCCTTTCTAATCACTGAGGGCGACGAAGGGTTCAAGAGGTTGTCCAGCCAGATGGAGAGGTACAATGCTTGGGAGAAGAGGGGGCACGAGTTTGAAATGCTGGAGATGATGCTGGAATTCGTGACGACGGTGGGACTCATCAGGAGGTCCCACCAGTTCGCTGGACTGATTTGTGCCATTGTGATGACATTTCGCAATGCCCAGAGGAGAGTGCAATTCAGCCATCGGGGGCTGAAGTACGTCGGGGAAATATTCAGAGAAATTGTTTTCTCGAGACCGTTGTTGCAGTGTTTCGTTCCGTTGACTGATGTACTTATTTGTTTCTGTGGAGCACAGATTTTTAATGTTAAAATTTGTCCATCACCCACTGGTAATTTTCTATAATCATTTTTTGACGTGGATACGTCTATCGTTTCAATATGGGGGCCATCTATCGGAATTCTAGAAAATTCTAGACATTTTGAGGTAATTCGAGAAGTTTTTTGAAATTTCGAAAAAATTCAAGGAGTTTCTAGGACCGAGAAAGAAGGAAAAACCATGGACGTATCCACGTACAATTACAGTTGTATCGAAGATATAGCCGCCTGCATTTTTTTTATTCTTTAGTGAATGAATGGAACAGGGTGTGTCAGTTTCACTTGGAGATGTTCTAGTTTTTGAAAAATAACTCGAAGTTTAATGGAGATGATAAGAATTGTGCAGATTGAGATAATAGAGAATTGATTTTTTATAGAACAAATATGGATCTATAAAAAAAAATGTCCTTGTAAGATTTTTAAAAAATTCTCTTAGATCCAGAAGTGCTTTTCGAAAAGTATAACAAGATAAAAAAGATAAGTCAGTTAATAAAATAATGAAAAAATTATTTTTTGAGAATTGTTCAGAAATTTTGTCTGAAGATCTCATCTCTGTAATAACATTCAGAAAAATTTTAATATTTTTTTAGATTCCGAAAGATTTTTCGGCAAATGGAATCAAGTTAATTCGTCTTATTTCAAGACTTGAAGAACGATTTTTATTCATTGTCAAATCCTAAATACGTTATTTTATTGATTAATGCCATGTATGGCCCACTCGGCCTTTTACATTGCCAAACACTAAATAGTGGAATACTTTTCTCTTTTGCAGAAAAATCAGCTATAGAATTATGGAAAGGAGCCCAGTATTTCACTCCCAGTACGTAAACATCTTCAAAGCAAAGAATTGAATTAATCGAATAGCAAAATTAATTAATTTATTGCAATTAATTTTTGTGTCATCAGATGCTTGTACTTTGGCAGTCTTCATGGCTCAACTAATGCGATTTAAACTCGACGAAGTAACGACGATCAAACTCGCCTTCTCCATGTTAGCATTTGTTTACAAAGCATTCCTACTGAACAACATCAGCTGGCCGGACGAATCCAATTTACATTATTGTAGAACAAATTTACTGACTTTTACGATAACGATTTTGTACAATTGTTCGAAGATTGATTTAGAGAAAGTTAGGAGTAGATTAACTGCTGACGAGTGTCCCACTAGTAGTACCTGGAGGAGATTGGATGATAACTTTTGGGGAGGGGTCAAGAGGAGACAGTTTAATGCACTCAGAAGTGGAATACGATTCTTGAGTTTTTTGGCGAAACGTGATCCAGACTTTATTGTGAGGGCCAGTGATGTGGACGATCTTTTTCAACTTTTTATGCAGCAAGTGACGATGATCGAGGGATTTACATTGCATGAGAATGAACGTAAGTCTTAATTACTCCATAAATTCATGAATAATTGAGTATTAGAGTGATAAAACGGGATAAATCTATTTTTAAATTGAAAACACAAATTTTTGTCTGAAAAATTTCAAATAAAAATTGTGAAAATAATTAACTACGGATTCACATGACATTTGAATAAATTTTGTTATTAAAAAATCATTGATCATCATGGAAACGCAGACACGTATTCATTTCCATTTTCAATTTACTTAGAATTCATGTGATCATTGAAACTTCTATATTTTTTAAATATGGGAAAACTAAATTGCTTCCAATTCTAACTATAAATTAAAAATTCATTAACATTTTGATCTGGATTCCAATTTAGTGTTGGGAATTGAGACTCGCAATTAAATTCTGTTAAAAAAATATACAATGTTGTTGAATAATCAATTATCTTTGCAATATAATTAAATTCAATCCAAAATTATTCAATAAGTGTTTTTAGGGGAAAAGGGTAAAAGAATTTGTTATGGGAATTGGAGTTGACAATTGATTTGTCACGATTTATGAACTGGCCTTCGAATAATGAATACTAATAAATTTCATTTTGCTCCAGGAGAGGCCTTAGCTCTGATCACCTCCACAATCGCCCTCGACAAGGCTTCCTCAGGTGAAACAGCCCCATCCACTCCCAAACTTTTCACACCGAAAAGTGCCTTGAAAGACAAATCAGACACAACAACAGAACCCGAGAACTTCTGCACGAGTTCCCACAAGAGCAGAATGAAGAATATCAAAGTATACAAAACGAAGCTTTAATAATTCCCAAGAATTGTACTGTTATTTATGCAACTCTGTCCCAGTCACAATCATAATGTTCAATCTTTCGTTTTTGTAAATAATTGTACGTTTTTCATAAAAAAAAGTGTTGAATTTTTACGGCTTCATGACAATATATTTTATACGTTTTTAAATAATTTTATTAGTCACTGAGCTCCTCTTCGTCGCTGAAGTACTCGTTCTTCTTGAATTTTTTTCTAGGTTTCAAGTCCTGCTGATTATTCTGTTCATACTATCCTGTGGAACTGGTATGAAAATCAAACAAGAATTTCCACTAAAGAAAAGTGAACAATAGAATCCAAGTAAAACAAAATAAAGCTGCAATAATCCCCCAAGAATTGTAGTTTAATTTATGCAACAATGTTCCAGTCATGACTCAACCATAATATTCAATCTTTGATTTTGTAAACAATCGTACGTTTTTCATAAAAAAAAGTGTTGAATTTTTACGGCTCCATGACAATATATTTCACACGTTTTTAAATAATTTTATCACAGAATATAAATAGACACTTATTTCTAATCAATTGGAATTAGTCACTGAGCTCCTCTTCATCGCTGAAGTAGTCGTTCTTCTTGAATTTCTTCCTGGGTTTCGAGTCCTGTTGATTATTCTCTTCATACTGTCCTGTGGCGACTTTGTACCTGTATTTCTCGAGCTCGAGCTGCTCCTGCTCGTGCCTTATCGCTGCACTGAGTGTCTCCGTGTCCACATCTTCAGTGTCTTCAGGGTCTTGAGCACTGGGGGCTCCTCTGGGGTTCCTCACCCCCTCGTCACTGTCAGAATCGTAGTAGCTGGTGCCTGACTGCTCTTCACCAGGTTTAGTCTTCTTCCTCACTCGAGTCTTCTTGGGAGGAGGGGTTCTTGGTCCTAAAGTGTTGTGGCTGCATTTGTACGAGAGGTGTCCCTCCTCTCCGCACTCCCAGCATTGGGACTTGTCTGGGTACTCTCTCCTCCGAATAAATTCTGTACTTCGACCGTTGTCTGCTGCTATTGAACTTTTAATCGTTCTTCCACCCAACTGAAATATTTAATTATTTTTAGGTTTTTTTCTTCTACATTTACCGGTTGACCAAAAAATGATACCGTAACGAATAGGCGATGAATTATGGAAAGGGGCGGATTTATTTCCTTTATTAATACACGTGGTGATTAATATGTCCGTTCAGGCTTTAGAATAACATTTTATCGATCGCATAACGAAGCAAAAGACAAAAATATTTCAGGAAGAGGGGAAAGGATCAATAAATTAAACATTCAATTTTGTTACAATACTTTTGACTTTTCAGAAAATATCCTCAGCTCAGGAATAAATTCATTCAAGAAAAACTGTTGAAGAAAATAGGAAATTCTCTCGTTTTTTTTGTTAACAATTCTATTGGTCTGGAATTTGATTTCTTCGTCAAACAGATTCCATTAAAATATTTTGTACAGAAAATCAATCATTTTCTTCGAATAATTTTTAAAGTTTTCCACTGCATGTCTTATACTTTTCTTATGAACATACTCAAACAAAAAATTTGAAAATTTAACCCACGGATTTTCTATAAGCATAATCTCAACAGAATGAGTTGTATAGAAAGGCAAATTTGTTGATTTTTCCTAGGAGACATTTTTCTTATAAAAATTTAGGTTTAAAAAATGCGCAGAATCATTCAGAAAATTTTCAATAGAATTGGCGAAAAGACTAATTAAATTTCAATGGAAATTTCCTAACAAGTGCACTAGGTTTTTCAATAAAAATATTTCATACATGTTCTCTTTATGGAAAATCCGATGAGTTATTGCTACTAAAAACAATTTAGAAATGCCTAGTTTGGCTTGATCTCCCCTTCCACCCCCTGAGAGAGAATTTTCTTTATTTATGAAAAATACCTCAGTGTTGTTTAAATTCTTGACACAAGTCACTGCATCTTCTGGTTTTAGAAACAATACGAAAGCTACTCCCTTGCTTCTTCGAGTTTTCTTATCTTTCAGAACTGTTACCCTGCAATTGAATAAAATTAATTAATTTATCATCGTGAATGACTAGTCTCACTAACAAACTCGACTGGAAAATTACTTGCTACATATCTTCAATGATGTTGTAGCATTTATTAATCATTTTTTAGGTGAGTTCATACTTTACTATCTTTCCATGATGCTCCAAAAGTTTATGGATATCATTATTAGTCAACGAAAACGGCAAATTTGATAGGTAGACCGTTGATTTGCTCGGAACAATACCACCGCTCATTATCAAGCACTTTTTTCACTTGAAAATCAATGAATAACACTTTTACATTCACGAATGTTTATTTCGCTGAGCCTTGTAAACACAGGACGCTCCGAGAAAACAGCTGATCGCGTAAACAAATATGATTGGAGGGGAACGCCGTTGGTAATGAAGAGACCTGTCCAATCGATCTATAATTTAAATTTACTTTTTGCTTTCGAATGAGAGCTTTGTAATTGTTCAAATTTAAGTTTTGAATTTTTTGTGTTAGAGGAGGTTGGGGCAAAATGGACACTTTTGACTTTTAAAAAAATATTCATAACTCAGAAACAGATTTATCCATTGAGTTCAGTCTAAGCTCATCGAAAGGAGGAATCATTGTTCTTTCTACTGAAAAATAAAATTATTCCATTTCATGAACAATTCAACACGTCATGAACTTTTTAAAAAAAGTTAAAAGTGTCCATTTTACCCCACCCTCCCCTAAATTAATCCATTTGGATCCAGAAAATCCAAAAATGAAATTTTTACTCTCTCTGTATGTATGGAGTTTAATCTTTTATTAAATTTTAGGTATAATGTTGAGCCCTATCCGTCATAATTAATTCAAATTCGATTCGTATATTGATTTTTAGAAAAATAGCATATTTCGATATGAGCAGGTAATAGTGCATTTCGACATAAGGCCTAAATAGTATATTTCGACACGAGTGTGTAAGTGGTTTTTGACTCGTGAGAGGTGTTTACCGCTCGCCAAAGGCGAGTGCTTTCCACAATGTGTCCAAAATCTTTCCAAAATCTCACTTTACGCACAATTAATGAAATATACTATTATTGATTTTCTTGGAATGTTAAAATTAAAATTTCAGTGGTCAAGGCTTCAATATACAATATCAAATGGCTAAAAAAAATCAATTTCACTGTGTACAATAGGTCAGTTTATCACGAAAATAGTGTGTCTCTCACATCGTTTTAGATATTACTAATCAGCCCTTAAACAGAAAAAAAACGAAAAGATTAAACCATTCTGACTCGAATGGGAATCAGCCCTTTTATTCAAAAGTCTTTCGGTACTTGTTTTTTTCATAATACAATCATAAAAAAATACTATCCACTATCTCCTATTCTTTCAAAAATGTTCGACACACATTCTTCAATCTCTCGAGCATCCTAGGATCCAAATCACTTCTTTCGCCGGATAGAATCCTCAAGTTCTCACAAACACTCTCTGCTTTTTCTTCTAAATCTTCACGTTTAGACTTGAATCGTTTGTCATCGTGTTCAGCCTCTTCTTCTTCTTCTTCTTCTTCTTCTTCTTGACATTTGTGGGGGTGTATCATAGAAAACTTCATTGTCTTCCTTGAGAGAGTCTTCAAGTAGTCAATGATGGAAGGAATTTCTTCCAATAGCTCCTTTTTCAAGTATGCGGGGACTATTTCACGAAGTTTGGGACGCTGCGCAATGATCCTCGTAATCTTCCTGACTAAATCATCATTTCTACACGTCTCGACGATGTGATCGTAAGCCTCGAGTGCCTCCTGACGAACGAAATCACTCTTGTGTTCCAGCAAAAAGCAAAATAAGTTCGAGAGCACTGGGACGTACTCTTCACTCGTGGAATTCAATCGATGAGCATTTTTTGTTAGATAATTACATAGCTTTATGAGGAAGTCGAGGGGAAGGTCTGGACTGTGCGAAACTCGCGAGAATAATACCTGATAGAGAAAATCGAAATATGTAAAAAAAAAATTGAAATTCTTTCGAATGAGTGAATGATTGTAGACAGTATTTTCTCAGCTTTTTTCTCTTGTCATTACCGAAATCAAAGACCAATTGAAGGACTGATCTTCAGCATTGATTTCCGCGCAATCGAAGAGTAGTAGCATCACGTCTAAGAGTATTCTTCTCTTCCATCCTCTGGAGTCTTCCACCGCATTCATGATGAATGCAGAAACTTCGCATAATTTTTCGGTGTTAGCACGATTTGTCTTTTCTTTCAGGATTCCCATCAATTTCAGTATTTCCACCTGATAATTAAACAAATGAACTGAACAGCCAATGAAGTTGATGGAACGTTTAGCCGTTTTACAAAGATTTATTTTTATCATGCTAAAGGAAAATTCTGTTATTTTTGAGGCTGATGAAGGAACACATGTGCTGAGAGAAGAAAAAATCTTATTTTATATAATTTGAGATATGCGTTTCTCTGAAAATTCATGAAAGGTATTAGAAAGTTACAAAAAACTCCGGATCGATGCATCAGTTATCTGCGAGGAAAATTACCGCAAAAAATTATGAAATGAGACCCTTTCATCATTTATGCACTCTCTAGCTGCACCGACAATATTTGAGAATATTCTAGACTTCTTTAGCATTTATCGCCTAAATGTCGATTTTAATATGAGAAAAAATATGAATATAAAATATTTAAAAAAAGAGCTAGCGTTTCAAATAACACGTCTTGTTTGCCCCAAAAAATAAGTTGAAAATTTGAGACAGAAATTGTTTCATTTGAACATTCGAAATATTTGACTCCAGAGGCGACTTATTCCATTAGTCCATTTTGCTCCACCTCCCCCTACAGAATAACGAATAGGTACCCCTAGGAGTAAAATTTCGTGTTTTCACAGAAAAGAACATTTTATACAACTGAATCTATCTTTACAGAAAAAAATGGTCAAAAATAAGACAAACAAGACTCGTTAGCGAAACATATTGTTTCGTCTGTCAGTCCTTAACGCGAAATCCGATCTATAAAAGCGGCCCTAACAAGAATGTCGTTTCCCCTCACCAATTGCCAGACATAAAAGAAAGCTCAAGTCAAATTGAAATAGACTCATCTAAAATAAAATCTCATTAACAAACCATGCGATTCCAATTCTTAACAGTCGGCTGCCGGCGTAAATCCGCAATAACTTGTGGAAGACTATTGACTGGCTCGACAGCTGTAATTTTCCTGTACAAGGCCACCTGCTTGGCCCGGATAGGCTCGTCGGATGATCCACTTTTTAGTATCAACCGAAGACTCCCCGGGCCGCCACAATTCTCCAGAACCGCCTCTTTTCCCTCATTACAAAGCAGCTCATAAACATCGACAATCAATCTCCCCAGCACGACCGCCACGAGGCTGTCACCGCGATCCTTCAGGACCTCATAGGCCCCCATGAACTGCTGAATGTGAGTCACCAAGAGGTCCTCCGTGGAGACCCTATACACCTGTTGTAGCACATCATGAGCCATCAGCGAAGGCCACAAACTCTCTCTCATCAGGTTCTTCATCACGATCCTCTCGTAAACTTCGAAGTCCTCTATTCCTCGGACGAGAAAACTAATCAGAACTGATAACGTCGACTCATAAACGCTTTTCGGTTCATCATTCAACACCTGAAAGTCCAAGGATCCGATCAGAATCTCCTCTTGGAGATGATTAATATTCTCAATCGCAATTTGAAAGAACAAATTTGGGGGTCTCCATGTCTCATTCGTCGCCAGAAGAATCGAATGATACCCAATGGCATATTTCAGGTCCTTTTTTCTCACTTCTTCGAATTCCTCCAGGAATATCTTCCAGAACCCATCGAAGCCTGTGTAGTAGCTTATCACCGATTCAGCGAAGTTCGAAGTGATGATTTTGGCTCTCGCCTTGTAAATATCCTTCTCGCTCTCCTTGAGTTTGGCTCCAGTGCACATCACGTGGTTCGCGGATAAGTTGACCAAATTCGGAATCATTTCTCGGACGAAGTCATCGTTCGGAGGAGGGTCCGTGCAGAAGACGGAGTGAAGACGATCCAGGATCGTTAGAAGAAATACTGTGCACTTCGCTCGTTTCTCGAAGAGTTCCCCTGACGATTTTATTATATTATTGTACAGAGAATTGATGATGACGGTTAAGTGCTTGAAATGACTCCTGACGTCGCCGACTGAGCCCTCGCTGGCGAGGATATCCTTATGGGTGACTGTCAGCTTCATAAAAATCCTCCAGCACTGCCCCATCGTCACCAGATCGTACGTCGACAGTCTCGCGATTTCCCCGATCTCCGAGACGATTTGTCTGAGCGCTTCCAGGTCGTTCTGAGGTGAGAAGACCATTGAGTTGAGGAGATTGCAGAACATCTTGACGATAACGCAGGACTTCCTGAAGACATCGGAGAGCAGCGGAGGCAACTGCTCCTTCGGATACTGCTGTCTCTTACTCTTACAGTGCCCCGAAATCTTGATGACTACATTCGGAAAATTATCGATCAAACTCTTCAATCTCGCGGGGTCACAGGACTTTCCCAACTTCTCCACGTGACTCATCAATTCATTCCAGGGTTCAAGTGCACCCTGACACTTGATGAAGAGGTCATCGAAAATTCTTGCACTCTTGCCCCTATCCTCCCCGAGTTTACTCTCTATCTGATCAATAATTTCTATCACATTCTCCTTGAGAATGGGACACGCAACACTGAGAACTCTCTCCTCTAAATCATCAATAGTGCATGTGTTCAAATTCTCCTTGATTATTTTTCTGGCCCTCTCTTCTTCACTGACATTCTCGGGGTTGGAATCGACGGACATGTCCAAGTCATCGTCAAAGACGAAGTGATCGTCGATGGAGTTGCCTTCAGTCATCCCTCACCCTGAAACATAAACCGTCCGCTGGATGAATATCTATACCCATTGGAAGCAATTTGTGTGTTGGCATCGCGTCAAATCGCGAAGTTCTCGATGAAAAAATCGCTTCCTCCCCTCGAAAAAAACACGACATCAAGTCAATCCAACCGATCCCGAGAGAGTAATTACCCCTCGCGATGATAGACCCAAAGCCCTTCAATACCCCACGTGGCTGGATTCCAAATACAAGCCTTTCAAAGTTCCAAAACTTTTCCCCTTCGAAGGAAGAGAAGCAAAAAAAAAATCCCCGGCACTTAAAACTCGGGGTTGAATGCGATAGTTGTCTGTATGTGTGCCAGGTTCAACGAATTCAAATGATCGGCCGAAGAACAGCCCGCGGGGGTAGTTTAACTTCCATGGTAACTGCGGACAACAAGCTGTCAGATGATAGGTAGAGTTTTGATCAATAACGGGTGACTGGAGTTTAGGCGGTTTGAGGAAGAAGGGGCAAATCAGGGGGCTGAATGTTTAAAGGCATAAGATACCACTGTATTACTATGGATGCTTCTGTGAGCGGACTCTATTCGGTTGAGGGCAATGGTTGGAGTCAGTCAGCCGGCGTGTGCCGACGTGGATCGTTCACGCTTGTGCTGAACTTGGAAGCAAAATAACCGACGTTCAAAAGTTGAATGAAGCTGGTTCGTAGGATTGATTGGATCATCATCTTCAGTTGATAATGAGTTATCGTTTTCAGGTGGAAACGATGAGCAAACTCCATCACTGAGCCAAAACATTCGATCATGTCGAGACAGCCAACGAGACAGCTGTCCCTACAGCAGCCTCCGAAGAGGACGCAGGTGAGAAGACAAAGATCGGCTGATGACAATCGACCGAATGTGTACCACTCGGAGCAGCCGGTGAAGCCGAGAAGGGAGAGGAGCACGTGGGGCTCGATGGAGAGGCCCAAAGTGAGAATCGCCTGGAGTTCCCAGGTGGAAGACAATCCGAAAGTGGAAGTGATCGCTTCGCGGATAGGCACTACTTCCGCGAGTAAGTCAGGGAGGACTCCATTCGCGGCATCCTCAGTGATCGCTGCAGACAAAGCTGCCATTTTGTACTCGAGACAGGAGCTCGCCGAGCGTCTGCGGCTGGCTTGGAAGCAGAGGGAAGCGAACAAATCCAACATCGACATCTTCCTTGCTCATGATACCACAGCTGAGGATCGATGTGACTCGAGGCTATCAACGTCCAGCTGTGCCGAGCCGAAGGGTCTCGAGGACGAGCGAGAGTGCAGGGATGGCAGATTCGATGGGAATGGATCTGAGCTCGAGAACTGCGCCCCAGAGGACCTCCCAGAACGCGGGAAGCTCAAGGGCTCGAGTCCTGGTAGCGAGAAGGATCTGAAGGTCAATCTGGCGGCGGACGCGCGGACGAAACGTGCGGGTTTCCAGAGTGGGACTAATGCCGCGTTTAATGGACCAGTTCAGAAGAACACTCTAGTGTCTCCAGTGATCAAAGACATGAAAGAGAGAGGAGTGGTGGACGTGAGGGCGAAGAGGACGAACTCAGCCCCTCCGCTACAGCGAAGGGGACCCCTCTCAAGCCCCGGGAATCCTCCTGGGCATTCAGTTCGTCCCCGCGTCAACATCATCATCGACACCCCGAAGATGAGCAAACTCAGGGACTCGAGCAATCCCCTGACCCCCTTCAAGTTCGAGCGGAAAGACTCTATGAGCCAGGGGAAATCTTCCGCCCTCACAAGTCCCCATGACGACTCGAAACACATAGCCAGCGTCATCTCAACGCCACCCGAAAAACACAAGTCAATTGGTAACAAAAAAAGAGCAAGAAGTGGCAAACGAAGAGTCGATGAGACCGGACGAAAGAGTGAGTTATCCAAAACAAATCCCGATGTTGTCACTATGGTGTCACTAGTCAGTGATGCGGACAGTGACAGCGAGGTTGAGAAAAATTCTCCGAGAGATGACAAACTCGTTCGTCAATTGAGGAGCCATTTATCCACAACTCCAATTATCAAAGGTTGTTCGCCAATGATGATGAGCGTGGGAAATTTAAGTACAGGGAATATGGATAATTGTGGGAGTAATGGATTGATGCCCAGGAGGGTCATAAAGTCTGGTAAGAGAGTTTACTGTGATATTGGAATCCCTTTTGTTTATCATCAATGAAGTAACGAGAAGTCTTTTAGATCTTAGATCCTCCGATTACACCAATAAAACTTTTAATTTGGCAAATTATCCCTGTTAGCTTTCTCCAATTCTCCTTATCTCCTCGTCTCTTCGGCTAATGAACTAGAGATGTAAATTGCGATAGTTGGCACAGTGGTAATTACTTTATTACTTTCTTCCATCCGACTTTGGTCTCACGTACATGTGTGAGAACATTTTAATTGAGAATGGGGATGTGATGCATGTCCTGTCACAATGACGCCCAGTGGTATTAGGTGATAGTCAAGAGGCTTGCACGGCATCCCAACTAATTAGAGTAGACTAGAGACACGCGATCACCCACGTCCCGCGAGTTATCTCGAGCGTTCATGGTCGCATGTGTGCTCTCCGCCGAAAGCAAGAAACGAACTGAAGGGGGAGGAATTGTAAAAATGTTAACGACCCGGGTGTTCGATCAGTGTCATTCCAGCAAGACTCTATAGACGGCGAGCTGCATCTGCGACCACGCAGCGCAGACCGGAAGTCGTTCCCGGAGGCGCAGCCGAAGGTCATTGTCCCCCAGCCAACGATACGTCCAGGGGACGAGTTGAGGACGGCCTGGCAGGACATGTCCTGCACGAATCTGGAGATTCCGTCTTCTCCGAAGTACTGGGAGGACTCCATAGAAGACAATCAGGCACTTACTGACCGCGAAAAACGATGCCTGGTGGTACCGATTGGCGATCCGCAGGATAAGAAACGTAAATTGTTACTGCAGCGGACGAAAAGCGTGCCAGCGAGAACTGAGTGAGTTGATTGTATTGATTGAGTCATGTTGAAGAATGTGTCCTTAGGAAAAATGTGTGGGGAATTTGGGCGTTCTTCATCGAAGGGGTTTTCGAGATAAATGTTTATACACACATATGGAAAAATATATATTCTGAAAATTATATATTTTATCTATGGAATTGGCCTGAGTTACATATAAAAGTTACATAAAATATAAATTTATGTATGTTTCATATATGCTTTATATAAATCTTATATATATTCGAAGAATATATTAAATTGGCCTGTACTATATAAGTAGCGAAGTGGAAAAACGGTTTAAGTCAATTTTGACTATTGACTGGTTTTCAATAAATATCTCGGAATCTAAGGGAGATGGCAAAATTTTTGTTATGACCTTTTTTGTAGAGTCGATTGAGGGCTATAACAAATGTAATTACGAACATTTCGCTATCTCCGTTAGATTCGGAAATATTCCTCAAAAACTCAACTGGGAGATAAGTCGACTTACACCGGTTTACCACTTCGCTACTGATATATATTTTTATATATTTTTCCAAGGGGGCAGAATTGCATTATGAAACTGTTAAGGTGTATCCTGGAAAACGAGAGTTTCTTACGATTTTTCCCATGTTTTTCGTAAAATTCATCATTATATTTTATTAAAAAGAATTATTATTATTTGAAATAATTGATTTTTCAGTTTTATCATTATTATATTTTATTATTAAACATCAATTATTATTATTATTACTATTATGAATATTCTCCAGCTATTGAAAAAAATTCCAACTAGCTGTACTACATAGGGGATAAAAAATTATGAAATTATAGGTCCCCCGAACTCGACTTTTTCATCCTATCAGAGAACGGATCTTACGATGGTCTAAAAAAACGAATCCGTGGTAGATTGATAAATTATAAAAAATGAAAATTTCGGGAAAGCACTTCTTAATTGATTCCAATAATTGATTAACAAATAATTTTTTATTTGATTCAAACAGTTATTGTTGCCTGCATCAACAACATGTGAGGATAGAAAAACTCAATAACTTATGAGAATGCAGAAAATGAAGTCATTTAGAATTTTTTCCGGAAATCCATAGGGACATGTCTTCTTTGTGAGAACACACCTATCGATGCAAAAATTATCCTCCTGCACAGTAAAATTTCCCACACTGGTAGAGTATTTTTTTTTCATGGAAGTGAAAGTTTACTGGACAGGAAAATGATACGCAATAATGAGTAAACATTCACGATCACTGGGATAATTTTTGATGGAATGCAAGCTAAATTTTACAGTTTCGGAACAAATTACTCTTACGTTCAGTAAATTTTCCTGGCCCAACGGAGAACAATTCACTCTTCTACTCGCAGACTGAGAGAAATATTCACTAAAAATTACGGAACTCACAATTCACTCACCGATTACGGAATCGACTCAGAAAATTTAAGTGACGGTATCGTAATTTTCACAGAACATTCAGATGAAAATTACGGACCGTTTTGGAAAAATTCTGCGACAGTTCCGTAAAATTTCCTACAACCACATTTCGCTCCGGAATTACGGAAAAGATACGTAATTTTTATTGAATATTTCTCTCCGTGCATTGTTCCCCGATCTAGAGTGAAAAAGTACTGAAAATCGAGTTCGCTCCACGATTACTTGACTTGTTCGGTAATTTTTCTCCAACTTTTGTCTCCGTGTACATTCCGATGCCAACAAACGACAGTTAATATCCATTAAACCTCCTGACTTGACAACCCGCAACCCTCAAATTGATTAAAATCCAATGTCAATAATATCTCAACCCTAAAGACCCTTTCGTGCTTGACGAGAAAAGCGAAACTAATAAATGTACCTCGACCTTCATTTCCGATCCCGGAGAACTTGGCATCATTACACGGTGAAAAGAGCAACGATAAAAGAAATGAGAGGCAGTTAAATGTCTCATAACCACGACTCGTTTCTTACCCTCTCCTTTTTAACAAAATAAGAACAGAAGTGAATCGCAATTCCATTTGCTCTATGAAAACTTGTACAATACCCACTTGCGACTGATATTCGTGGGCACGAACCAATTTCGATTTCTCCGAGATTTATTATATCGGGGAGAGTCAAGAGAAGGACTGGATTTTTTTTTTGCCGAAGGGGGTGGAGGGACTAGGCCAAAGGAGGGCACACATATCGGATACTGGGGTGGAAGCTCGTCGTCGGTACCATCTAGTGCCCGAGCTTAAGAATGACGTATATATTGCCATTTGGATTCACGTTGAGTCAACACATTTGCAGAAATTGAGACCTCTATATCTGTGCTTTCATGCTGGGGTGTCAACTATCATTTCAATTTTTTCCCCTTGTTCTCGGGCAGAGATGGATAGGATAATGGGGAGATTATCGTGATATTGAAATGTCTGAACTTGACACGGAAATTTGGATCATTTCATGGTTCAGTTCCAGTGAGGAACGCAGATCGAGTGCAGTGCAGATGGAGACCAAGGAGTCTGGCTCGGCGGGGAGAGGCGACGGGAGGGAGCAGGGGGAGTGCAGGATTGGGCATGGGACGAATGGAATTGCTCTGCAGAGTTCTGTGTCGAAATTGATCGAGGGGGATGGGTTCAGGATGACGTCGCTGGATATCGAGACTGTCGAGGTGGATGTCGAGAGTGTGGAGCCACTTCTGAGGACCACTAAGGAGAAGGAGTGCTGGCACCTTTATAGGAGAATGTGTGATAAGGGAGTTTGCGTCTCTTTTGATACCGTTTTGAGGTAATTATTTTCAGTGATGAAGTTTCACATTTTTTTAATGAGAAAATGAGTTGAGAATTTCTGAGGGATATCTTCGATTTTAATGCAGATAGTGTAATATTTGAAGTTTTGGAGAACGAAGGGACAACCTCAGAAGAAAATGCCGCGCTCTCGCTCCAATCGTAAGGTATTCTCGAAAAACTTGACAAATTCAGGTTTTACGCAATTGATGAAATTAAAATGTTCCGATTTTTTTTTAATCTCTTCGAATCGAAGAAGTGTAAAACAATTTTGCTAAGGATGAAATTTTTGTAGAATTCATTGTCCTTTACAATGAATGGTCGATCGGAGAATTTTATTGTCTTCTCAGATTCCGAGATATCCCACAAAAATTGATAATAATAATCGCAGAAGAAAATGTCGCGATTGTTATTACCTCCAATCGTAAGGTATTCGCGAAAAACTTGACAAATTCAGGTTTTACGCAATTGATGAAATTGAAATGTTCCGATTTTCTTCGAATCTCTTCGAATCGAGGAAGTGTAAAACAAATTTGCTAAGGACGACATTTTTTTAGCATTTATTGTTCTTTACAATGAATGGTTGATCAGAGAATTTTATTGTCTCAGATTCCAAGATATCCCGCAAAAATTCATAATAGCAATCGCAAAAGAAAATGTCGCGCTCTCGCTCCAATCGTAAGGTATTCACGAAAAACTTGACAAATTGAGGCCTTACGTATCGTAATGGATGAAATTCAAATGTCTTAACATTTGTCCGATCTTTTCCGAATTTCTTCAAATCGAAGGAGTGTAAAACAATTTTGCCAAGGACGAAATTTTTGTAGCATTTATTTTCCTTTACAATGGAAGGACGGTTAAAAAATTTCACTGTCTCCCTCAGAATTCGAAATATCTCACAAAAATTGATGATGAGGCGTAATAGAATTTTTTTCTTTGCAATAGAGAATACGCATGATTTTATTTATTTTTTAATTCCAAGTTTCGGCCTTCAATGATTTATTTTCCATTTACGAACATTAGAAATATTGCTCGTTAATTAACAATTGAATGTTGAAAGGTGGAAATGTCAAACCCTTTGAAATAGCAAACATTTTGACGCCAGTTTCTTATGTTCGCGTTCGAATCTCAAGAAGATAGTGGAATTTCTACAAAGACTCCTTTTGTAGCTATAATTTTTCTCTGCAAAAGAGATCTGGTATAATATAAACATTCATCCAGATTTCGAGATATTGATTCCCAAAAACTGGCCTTCGTATGAAATTGAAGCGTGTCATGTATACACGGAATCGATTCCGAAAATTTAAGTGACGGTATCGTAATTTTTCAAAGGAGATTCAGATAAAAATAACGCAAGGCTCTGGAAAAATTCCGTGACAGTTCCGTAAAATTTCCTACAACCACGTTTCGCTCCGGAATTACGGAAAAGATACGTAATTTTTATTGAATACTTTTCTCCGTGTAGTCCCTTCCGTCTCTAGCTGAATCATCCCTGGAATTAATTAATAAATGTAATCAAGATATTTCTGTTTTTCCCGATCTGTTTTCAGGGGGATGTTGACACCGACAGAGTACAGATTACGAAAACGAGAGCCCACCTAGCAGAAGGGGTCGCGGGAGGGTGAGCCACCCCCTAGTGACTGACAGTAGTGCCTGTTATATCCTGATAGAGGATTCATATAACTGACGAAGACCTAGAAAACTGGCTCTGACATAATGCCAATAATTTCCAACTCCGATTGATATTACCCATAATTGTTAAACTATATCTTTTGTAGAGAATTAATTTTAATAATGGAGAGATGAATTTTTGAGGACTTATTTTTGTTGGATGAATAAAATTTTCGTGTTTTCGAGTAGATAATGTATTTTTTATTGAATTTTCCCTTCAACTGCCATCCAGTTTCCCGTGAATTGATCAATTACCTCGTCCATGCTCGTGACAGAAGAGAATAGAGAGTAATGGGGCAGGATTTTCGCGACCAAATGACCGATTGCACGCAATGGATCTTCATTTCTTGACACATCATATTTTGCATTAAGACGTTGTCTGCAGTGATAATTCCCACCTTCTAATTACACGGTATAAATATTGCATTCATTCGCGAAGCGGCAGGGAAATGTCACTTTGCGCCCGCCGAGGCGAAATAGTATAATTCGATACGAGTGAGAGGAAATTTTCACGAAGGCTAAGCCGAGGGGTGCCAATCACACGATCTGAAAATTCCCGTCTCACATGTGTCGAACTAGTATATTTCGTAACGAGTGCAAAAAGTGTTTTTTGGCGAGTGGGAGGTTTATATCACGAGCCGAAGGCGAGAAATATAATCCCACGAGCTAAAAAACATTTTTTCACGAGTTACGAACAATATTTTTCATCACAATGTGGCGGAAATAGGACTTTTAGGCACGCGGAGCGTGCCGAAAAGTTCACTTTTCGTCACAGCGTGATGAAAAGGTCCTTCATTTTTCCTCCCGTGATTAGAACCGTATTTTTCGCCTCAGTGTAGGCGCAATAGTAATTTTCGCCTTGGCGTAGGCGCAAAGTTAGATTTCCCTCTCGCGCAGCGGGAGGGAAATGTGTACTTAGCGCTCGCCGGGGCGAAAACAGATTTTGCGCTTCGCGGGAGGGAAATTTGTACTTTGCGCCCGCCGGGGCGAAAAATAGCACGTGCACCTTGGGTGGGGAAATATGACTTTTCGCACTTGTTGCACAATATTTTATTCCTCTGCAGGTGTTTTAAAAATATAATAGCATGGGCACGTCGGGCAGGTAAAATATGTCTTTCCGCACTTCTTGCTGCACAATGTACTAAAAGTTGTCAAAATAGCCACTCCTTTTTTGAAAAATGATTTGAAAAATAATCCCTGTATAGATTGAACTAAAAAAATGGAAAAAAAATGAAAAAATATTAAGTTCTCGCATAAGAAAGAGCGTATTTAATTCCAAACACGGGATAATTCATATGAAAATTGGTATCAAATTTCTCAAAAATGGAGGGATTTCATTTTTGTGTAATCGGTCATATTATCGAGAAAATCTCGTAGAAAATATTTCGACAACAATTGTTGTCAAAAATTGAAATAATTCCTACAATTACCACAGTCGCGCTGCCTGTCAATTCCCAGTTATAAATTGCCATGACATTGAGACAATGAGTCACTTGATAATGTTCCCAGTGACAAAATCTGACAAACAATGTGTTGAATCGTGAAGTTCAAGGAATCATGATAACAACATACAAAAATCATCCGAGATGATCACACCCTTGGCTGACCAACCACTGTCATGACACGAATACGATAATGTCGTTTAGGAAACATGGGACTAAGGGTAACGTGGACTACAAGGCGCGTTTGGAGCACAAATTGTATCTAGTACGTAAATTGAAGTCATTAACGTCAATCTATTAATTCAAGGTACATACGTTATAAATTATTCGATGATTACTCACAGGCTAGGGAGACACCGGAGCCAATTTTCGATGTTTCCGATTGTGGATTGAAGAACGTTCCATCGGGGGTGTACTCGCTATGCAAGGTTTTCAGGAAAAAGGAGCTGAAACTTGGAAAAAATCGACTGTCGTCGTTGACAGGGGGTGGTGCTCTCAGTGATCTTTCTCTTCTTACTGTTCTTGACCTCAGTGACAATGAATTCACCAGTTTACCCTCGGAAATTCGATTTCTCACGTCACTCGAGGTAAACAAATTTATGGGGAACCTTTTTTTGCACCGGGGCTTTCATTTCGTTCTGTTATTTACGCCATTATTATCCCGAGAATGAGACATTTGCAGAGAGGAACTTGCAGGATATTTCATACACTGAGAGAAAAAAATTGGTCTGCTGGAAAAGTTATGTTCCCCTGAAGGATCTTTTGTCGTGTTGAATGAATTTACTTGTGGACAAAAAAGAGTTTACACCAAAACATGATTTTCGTACTAATAATTGCTCTCGTGAGACATTTATGTTTTTTGGGTAAACACATTCGTTCTAAAGAGAATTATATAAGAGGCCAGACATCGGCATAATCGAAATTTTGAATACAGTTAAATTTTGAATGAGTCAATTGTTAATATTACTCACCAATTTTTTGATTTCTAGAAATAACCAACAATTTCAATTTTCAAATTCAGAATTATTTTATCAACCAATAATTAAGAAATTAAATTACCAATTATTATATTAATTTTCAAATTTCAATTACTATAAATAAATCTAAATTACTATAAGGTGAAAACATAAAAAATCTGAATGAAAATGAGAAAGTTTACGTTTGGAGGCAGATGGATGAAATATTAAAAAATTGCAATTTAATAAAAATTGCAAGCATTTGCTATAAATAATTGATAAACAATCAATTTTAGACATATTTCCCTTTGTAAGCACAGACTTCATCGTTCACTATCATCTGATGCATGTTCTAACAATGCAATTATCGTGGAATCAAGCGACTTTGGAAAAATATATTGATGAACTAATTTTTGAAGGAAATTATTTCCAAAATGAAAAAAATTCTCTGAAGTTTTCCTCTAAAACCACTCATTCCTGAGATAATCCCATGATTAACAAGGATTTGCACGTGATTTCCACTGATTTCTAATTTCATAGGAATTGTATCTCCAAAATAATGACCTCAGAAAGATACCAGAAGAGCTAACAGAGCTTCCCAATCTAATCTCTCTGAATCTCTCGAGCAACAAATTGAAATCATTACCGGAAACAATGGGAAACTTGAAGACGCTAAATATCCTTGACATCAGCAAGAACCAGGCAGTAAAAGAACTTCCAAAATCCCTGGCACTTGCCGAACGCCTGGTGCACGTCAATCTGGAGGGATTAACACTGAGTTATCCTCCAGATTACGTTACACAAGGTGGAGCGATAGCTATTGTTGCTTTCCTGGCTCTCGAGTTGGGATTGGACTGCAGTGCTAGGGATCAGTTTCTGGATGCTGAGATGAAGATGGGGAGGTTGAAATTTGGTGGCTCAGAGAACAATGGTGTCAAGAGAGATGAAGACGTACAGGTTTGAAATTTATTAAAATGTTATTGATGAAATGGATGGAATAAGGGAGTTAGAAGGAAAATGAGTCGATTTTCCAACAGTTTTTGATCAATATCTTGGATTCTACACTAGTACCAATGATGCATTCTCAAACAAGTCTTATTGCTAGTCTCAAACATTCTGTACTAAATATTTGAACCCTAAGATAAGCTCTAAAACGAAGAAGGAATTATTTTCGTCAAAATAGATTCAGTTATCCAAAAAATTGATATTTGCTGTGCGAACAAGAAATTTCCTTTTCAACATTTCGAAATAGCTATTTTGATTTTGACCACGAAATATGTTTGTTCGAAGCAAAATAAGGAGTAAATAGATATATATAGTTAGGAGTAAATAGATAGATATATATATATATGTATATATATATATATATATATATAGTTTATTTCAGAAATTTTTATGAATGATTCAGTGGAATATCAAATGTTCCAAATAGGGTAAACAGGCCAATTTCTGGACGATTTCAACTCGCATTGAATATTCCATAAATAAAATAAAAATTGTACTGGTTATTTCACCTTTCAATAATATTTCTCATGTATAGTCATGTGATCAATTATTTTTTCTATTGACCGATATTTAATAAATAAAAGAAATATTGCCCAGTCGTCCAGAAATTAGGGATTTCGACTGCATTCAACTAGTTTTTAATTTACTTATTCTTCGTTTTGTTATTTTCACTTCAAATAATTTTTTTTATTAATTAAATCGTTCTTTTCAATTAGGCCATTCATTTATTTTAGATCCTACCACGAAACTCGAATTTTTCTTAACCGTCCAGCAATTGGCCTGTTCCCCCAATACAGTAAAAAATTGTGTGTTAATTCTGATAGCAAATCGGTGTTCCAGAAAATCCATACAGTTTTCAGTGTGGACTAAAGGTGTCAAAAAATTGTTGTGAAGGATAAATTTGGTGCCAACTCTAACATCGCGGAAATCTAACGACTAAAAGTATGAAAAAAATAGCCAAATTTTCACTCTGTAAAAAAGCTCTTCATAAAATGCCAGCAGAACTTCGAAAATATTCATTCGAAATCCTCAAAAAAAAAGAAATTAGTGTGGTAAATCATCACAACGATCAATTTTCCAAAAATATTTCCCAATCTATTAGCTGTTTCCTTTAGATGTTGATGTATTCTTCAAATAAATTTGTCTACAGGATGTGACAATTGCACTGCTAAATTACCTTATTCCATTCAATCATCAAATCAATATTGAGTACAAATAAAACCATCACTGTTGTGATCACCATTTTTATTTATCTATTTTTTGTTCATTTAGGCAACATTAACGAAGCTAGAAAGAGAAAAGGCACGTGACCACAATCATAAGTTTATCGTAATCATTTCATTGTATCATCTATGCTTCTTTTCCCTTTTGCAATAGTCTGCTCAGGTTTCGTCCAGTTAGCACCTCATGTTATGGTATCTCTCTCAAATTAAATCGTTTCATGATTAATTAAAGGTGTTTGATAGTACAGTGGCGTCTACAAGCAATTCATTTTTATATAATATCTTATCTTTTTTATATTTAATAATTTAGATGATTCAAAGGGATTAACTTTGAATAATAAAATGCCCAAAGATATGAAAACGTGATAAATTACATACTAGCAAACCTCAGAAAAAAATATAGGACTCTCAAACGCCTTAAAAAAACAAATATATTTGACCACTCAAGAGTTAAAAAAGAGTAATGTAAGGGCCAACTGTACGAAATCATCTGCTGAAGCGCTTTAAACTCACCGAAAAATCCTAAAGTGTTATTATCCCCCAGGAAAGGAGACAGAATGCGTTATTGGAAGTCGAGAGGACGATAAGAGAGCAACAAGAGTACGAGCTGGGGCTACAGTCGATGTACAAAGACCAGAAGAAGAAATTACTGGAAGATTTGGCCCTCCAGCAGTCCAAGTTGGAAGAACAAATTGAGAGAGTTCAGCAGGAGAGAGAAGTTAACAGGGTCAGACTCCTTTCTGGTATTTATGATGCTGAGAGAGAGGCTGACAACCTCATCAAGGAATTCTTGAGGAGTTCAGAGGCTGAGAGACAGGCACAAGCGGAATTACACGAACGCGAGGTTAAAGAGGAGTTGGAGCTGCTGTCCCAGTGTCATTCGGATCAGTCTAGTTGCAGAACGCGAGAGACTCTCAGTAAATGCTCTAAGATTACCCAAAAATAATTTCACCGTGGAGAGACATTTCTTTGAAAAATTTTGGGGCTAGCAATGGAAATTCTATTAGAGAGAACGTCAATTTTTCTCGTATTTCTAAATTTTTCGAGAGCCCCCAGAATTTTCACTAGTTTTTTATAGCCCATTTTTTTTTTTATTTGGTCCAGATATATATCCTCTCAGGTTATCACGGGTTTTCATGAATACAAACATGTTACGTATTAGAGAAAATCCATAAACATCTTTACATTCTGATATATCTTAATGAACCAATATTAACATTCAACTTTTACATTTTAACTAACTAGGCTCAGTCTCTCATTCTCGACAATTTTCATCGAAATCTTTGAACTGGAAGTGATGAAACACAAAGAGAGTTATCGAAATGCTAGTAAAAATGAGAATGAAATAGCCCATTTGATTTTATTCATTACTAGAACTAGAATTTTTCTAAGAACTTTTTTAAGAATGATTTTAGATGATGTAGGTAACGCCAAGGACTATTTTTTTGCAGTTGCAATGGAGGAACTACTACAGAAAGAACTCCTGAACCAGAGAAAAGTCGAAGAATATACGAAATTCCGAGAGTGCACTGCCCAATCGTTGCTCAGTCTCGAGTTGAGAAGCAACGAGCACCTGGCATCAGTAGCTAAGGACCAGAAAAGAGATCGTGAGGGGCTTCTCGAGAGACTGAGGAAGGATGAGGTTCTCCAGAAAGCAGCCCTCGCTGCACTCTTAGAGAGAAGTGATGCGAGGTCGTGGAGTATCGTTCAACAAGTTAATCTTGTGCAGTCACAGTTGGTCGTGCTGACTAATATTGAACTTGAGAGGAGGAAACTGGAGATTAATCAACAAATCGTAAGTCCAAACATGGAAAACGAACGAATGAGTGAAGAATTCAATAGTGAAGGGGAGAATGAAGCAAATGAACAAATTTTCTTTAATCTGAAGTGAACAAATTTTTTTAAATCTTAATGATTCATTGAATTGTTCATAAAATTGCATATTTTTTCCCCTGGAAAGTATCATTCTTCCCCTTTATGATGAGCTAGACTGAACTCAATTAATGAAATTGTTCCTGAGTTATGAACATTTAAAAAAAAGTCAAAAATGCCGAGACCAAAACGTATTGATTTTACACGTCATGTAAAATATCAAACTATTTCCATAACGAAGGATTTTAGAGGGAAACCTCGAGGAAAGGTTTTTATTATTACCCTAAAAGTTATTGGAAGTTATTGGAAAACTGATTAGATGAAAAGTACGGGAACCATCCTGAACGGTTATGTTCCATTACCAAATTTTCTGAGGAAATCGTCTAGATCATTTTTCAAAATAATTTCAGACTTAAGAAGAGATCATTTGTTGGCCTGGCGGTCTGGTTTTCGAAGAGTTTATCATTGTAAATTATATTCGTTGACCTACCCTAAGGATTAAAATTTAAAAATAAATAAATAATAATAAATAATAAAGTAATAATAATAATAAATAATTAAATAATATTTGAATAATATTTTTAAGGCCCGGGGGTACTATCTTTCGAATGTTATCTGAATTTTTTTTATCTTTCGTAATCCAAAATTGTCAATTGAGTGGTACATCATGTAGAAATTCCAAAAAATTATGATAGAATGATAAAAAAAAATAGAAAAAATTCTGAACTTTTTTAAAGAGCGTTTTTAATTGAGATTCAGAATGAGTTGAAAAAAGTGGAAATTACAAATATCTGATTCGCTGTGGCAAATTATCTATTAGCTGTCATTTTCCATGGTGGATAACAAAACACTATCTCCTCATTGGGAAGTGACAGCTAGGTATCTCAATTTTCAAAACAGTGGTATGTAGTCATCTGCCATTTTTATGCGATAAAAGTGTGATTAAAAAATTCTCCAAAATATTACAACTTTTTTCAAAGAGCCTTTTCCGTAATAAATGTCTCTGTGCAGTGTGGGAAAAGATTTACGAAATCAGTCTTCCCGCTGCATGATATTGGGTCACAGGCCGCCATTTGTCACCGTAAATCAGATACATTTTTCACTTTCTTGTTATTCAATTTATTCTGAATATAAATTAAAAATGCTCTTTGAAAAAATTGAAAATTTTTTCTACTTTTTTTTGATTATTCATTCATAATTTTTCAAAACATTTGCATGATGTAGGACTCAATTGACAATTTCAAATGACGAAAGATAAAAAAAAACATTGAGATAATGTTCGAAAGATAGTACACCCGGGTCTTAAAATTAATTTAAAAAATGTTAATCTGACTATATGCCGCAATGAATGCAACATCTGACGTACGCTACATTTGCAATTGTCACAAATAATCGAAAAACAGTTGAATGATTGTTTTTCGCATTGCGTATGTTTCGCAGTGCGTCTACTGCGGCATCAGCCTAATTCTGAGTCATTCTCAGGACAACGAAAAGATAAACTACGTTGATTATTTTAGAATGATATTGCTCAAAGGAGAGTAATCTTAAGTGGAATTCTGGAAAGTCTTCTCGAGCAACAAGAGAAACGTCGTGCAGAACTCTTAGAGACGATAAATCAAATTGAGCAGCAAAGACAAACAAGAAGAGACAGTTTATTCTGGCTTATGCAATACCAATCCCTGATGGACCAGCGACCCCAGGGTCTCCTCGAGGGCCTGGAGCCGACCCTAGTGAGGCACGTAGCCATCGCTGGAGCTCTACACTGCCTACCATTCTTGGCATCTCTGCCTTCAATGCTACCTCACGTCGACCACCAGCAATTGGAAGAGGTAAAAACATCTTTTTTAAGCGTAAATTGTTGAAAAATTCAATGGCAACCTTGGGATCAATCGAGTGGAACCGTTTTTCTTTTATTGTAGATTGGCATTCACAATGAAAACGATAGGCGAGCGATAATACTCGCTGCTGAGAACTATCTGGCTGAGAGGAAAATGGATGAGGACGCGGGATCATCGGTGCCTTCAGCACCTGTCGATGAGCCTTCTACCAGCAGTACAAATATCCTCACGAGGACTATATCCAGTATCGATACGACTGAGTGTGTAGTCTGTATGGATTCACAAGTGAGTGGCCATTGCAATTATAATTTCATATTATTGTAAAATAAGAGTTCTTTTAATTGATAATAAGTTGATTGAGGTGATTTGGGGCGAAAGAAATAATAAAAAGAGATTTAAATAGAAATGACATGTCCGCGGACTATGAACAAAGATAAAAGAAGAATAATGAGTAAGAAAGAGACGATCGTACCATGAAGATGGTTGAGGAGGAAAAAAACAAATACGTAACAATATTTTTTAGTAATTGTGAAGCAAAGTTCTTCAACAGAACAGAAAAACACACATTCATTATTTTATCTCATTGAATATCGAATTATCTTCATACTGAGTGCGATTGAGGGGAAAATATCAAAAAAAATTTTCTGCTGAAAATTTTCTCTGCTACAAAACAGGTCCAAATGAATTTTTGTTCAAGTCAATCGGTTTTGAGGTAAATGCACAATTAACAAAAGTGAGTTTTAGTAATTGTGAAATAAAGTTCTTCAACAAAACAGAAAAACAGATGTTCATTATTTCCTTTCGTTAAATATTGAATTATCTTCATACTGAGTGCGTTTGAGAAGAAAATATCAAAAAACATTTTCTGTTGAAACTTTTCTCTGCTACAAAAAAGGTCTGAAGGAATTCTCTCTTCAAGTTAATCGTCTTCGAGATAAATTCAAAATTAACAAAAATTAAGTGCATCATTTTGCCACTGAATTATATTGAGCAACAAATAATAAAGAATGTTTACCCATTTTCAAAAAATTCAATTTTTTCTTGTCCGAGGAAAATTCTGTAATTTTTTAGACAGATGGGGGAACATTTGAAATCAACATTTCCGATGATGAAAAAAAATTAGTTCAAATAGCTTGGACGAAATGAAGTAAACAAATTTTTTCCTGTAGACGGGCTTCCGTGGAATTTATTGTCAAATTGATAATTCGTCAACTGGAGGACTCCGAAAATAAAAATGATAATGAAGGGTAGTTTGAAAAAAAAACCGAATGCAGTGGCAAATTGCTATCACCAGTTGAACAAAAGCAGAAAATTCCTTGAGTGCTTACGATTTTAGATAAACATCCTCAAAAATTTCCATTCCCTTTTTAAATGTTCAAAGAAATCTAGGATTAAATATTGCTAAAACATTTTTTTGAATTATTAAAAGTTTAATTGTCTTGTCTTTGTGATATTAATCAGTGATTTTGTTATTTTGTTTGCAGTGCGAAGTGATTTTTTTGCCATGTGGGCACCTGTGTTGCTGTGCAACATGCTCAAGTGTGGTAACAACCGAATGCCCTATGTGCCGCGGCTCTATACAGCGCAAAATTCCAGTCATAAAGCCTTGAAACAAAAACCACTGAATGAATTGAGCATTTTTTTTTCAAATCCCACTTCGTCACGCTTCACCGTTGAATTGCTTGGGGATCCATTGCCCGTTGGCTTTTTATTACGATTAGATAATTGAGTATGAGGAGAGGATGAGGATTTTCCGCATTATTGTCACGTGTGAATTTTATACCATTGTATATGAATTACCTCATTTTTTGCTAGAATTGTCCAGTAGTTTTCCAATGTCGAGAATTTTACACGAATTGTATACTGCTTCCACGTGTTTACAAACCGAATGAGGTACTGACTTTGTTATCATGTGCCTACTGTTCATTTTATGGGATTATTATACAGAATAGTAGAGGCAGAGAATTTAGCACATTTAATATCAATTATTGATATTGAAGTTCAACTCGTAGTTGATGAATAAGGAGATAAGAATGAGTTTCAAAAATGAAAGACAAATTAACGAATAAAATTTCGGAAGTAAAAAATTGAATTTATCTAATGTTCATTGGTTGAATCAATTGAAATTGTTTTGTTTGCATTAATTTCGTGGTTCGGAGAATTCTGCACAATATCATAAACTTATCTCCTTATCTTTGGTAATAAAACCCCTAGGATTCAACAACTTCGTGAAATTATTTAATTTCAATTGTTTATAAATATGTATAAAACTTTAAATGACCTTAATGTTTAAACTTCGAAAGTGAATTAAAGAGATTTTTATTCATCCTCAACGTTGTTGTTGCCATCCCGTTTCGCCCTCTGGATTTTGAATTATTGGGTTCAAAATTCAATCTTTAATTCAATCTTTAAGTTATCAATATTTGCGAAATTTAATTTAGGTAATACTGACTGGGTATGATTTTTTTTCAAATTTTTCACATGCAGTTTAGTTGGAAAATGCAGAAATTGAAAATATTCAAAAGCAGCGTAGTCCGGCCGGAGGGTAGAGTTACTTGAATATCGCTTATCGATTGCAAAACTCAACTCACACTAGTCGATAAGGAGATAAAAACATATTTCCGACGCAAAAGCACGAATCAACTAAAAAAGAACTTCAAAAATAAGAAATAGAAATTCTCAAATGCTCAAGAAATTCCCACAAATATCGCTAATTTAATATATCTCCTTATCTTTTATATGAAAATGCCACCGACTCCAAAAACTTTATGAAATAATTTAATTTCAATTTTTTACAAATATGTATAAAACTTGAATCTTAATGTTTAAACTTCAAAGGTGAATTAAAGGCATGTTTAGTCATCCTCAACCATGTCGTTGCCATCGTCATCGTCCTTCCTCTGCTGTTTCTTCTTTGAATTGGCATCCTTCTTCTCCCTCTGGGATTTCTTGAAATTCTCGAGGGCCTCCCTCAGTGGCTCGATGAATCTGTCGAACTCGATGTCCTCCATGGCCTGGAGCACATCGGGCCCACTTATCGTCTTCCTGTTGCCTTTCTTGGCGATCGTGTTGGCTGCTGTCGTCAGGTAGAGGATGAATATCGAGGCGGCTTTTGCAACAGCCACCCTGGCCTCTTTCCCGACTGTGACACCGTCTGGAAGGGCTTCCTTGATGATTCGGGTCACGACGGCGTTGGGGAGGTTCAGGTCTTCCAATTTTTCAGCCATCTGACAGGAAATATGTTTTACTCCTCATTCAACTATTCATTACACTCAAGAGAGATTTATTTCTTCCTGAGTGATTTTTCATTCATGAATACTTCATTCAATGAGTAATATTGATATAATATACTGAGATAAAAACCAACATGTTCTCAAACAAGTCTTGTTTTGGCCAAAAAATCGCTAGTTGGAAATTACTAAAAAAATTGTTTCACTTAAATTTTAAAGTCTTAAAGAATAATTGCTTAATAATTGCTTTTCGACGGTGCCTTCCCGTTTCGAAGATGGTATAGAGAGACGTAATCAATAAATATTAGATTTAGTGATTAATGTGACTGCAAAACCATGAAGTTCTAAATAGAAATTCATAAATTAAGGCTTGGTTGAAATATCTTTCGAACGTTATTAACTTGCCAATCCGTAAGTTATTGTAATCTCGATTAATGTTCCATCGTTATAATCGAAAATATTCTCCAGCACTGGAGTCCACAAAAGTTTTGATGGTACAATAAAAAAAGAGTTGTAGTAAAGATTAGAACATAAGTTGCATGGGGGGGGGGAGTCGCAAATGGATAATTTATCCCGTCAATTGACACTCTGACAGTCATTAAATACGGTAAATCCCGAATTAGCTATTTTCTCCCAATTCGATTTATTTCCCAATATAATTTGAAAACCCTAGTTAAAAATGTTTAATTCTTTTTATACCTTTATTCTATTACACAATCATAATTTCTGGGGACTCCCGTGCTATTTAAAACTAAATGGCAATTGGAGAATATTCTAGATTATCAAAATAAAAAGATGAGCAAGATCACGTTTGAAACATAATATACCGGGACCTTAATATGAAGAATCTCCAGTTGAAATAAAAATTCAGACGATCATTCAATAAAGAGAAACAATACTCTTCACAGATTCATCAATAAATATGAAATTGAGTTGATATTCATACGACTACATGAATTATAATGTAAAAATTGACGATTTAGTCGTGAAAAATTCAAATTGGAGTTAAAACTACCTAAATAATTCACTGAAATGAATTTTAAAATGTTCAAAACGAATTTTTATGAATAAAAATTTGGTTTCATGATCGATATTGATACAACAGGCTCCATTGTGACATAACAATCAATGAATTAGTCTCAAAAATCAGAAGTCAAAGTCAAAGTTTCTTCAATTATTCGATAAAGCAATGAAGGAATGGTTCAGAAATTCATAACCATGAATTGATATAAAAATGAGGACTCATTTTGAAAAATTTTAAGGAGAAGTTAGAACCCAATGAATTTCCTCATTAAAACAAATAAAAATTACTAAACACAACATTGAATTATTAATACCCAAAAAACGAGCCCACAATATGAGATAAACAATGGAACTTAGCAGTAAAGAGGTTAACTAACCGTCGAGAACTCCAAATGGATTTTTCAATGAATAAAAAAACTGTACTTACGTTTCGATTGATTCAGAACAATCAAACAACACTTCCGGATTTACAAGATGACGTTTCCAAGATTGTTTATAACTTTCAGTTGATAAAAAATATGTAAACAATTCTTTCCCGCCAATGTATTCGATTCCCGTGGCTCAACTCAACTAGTGACCGGAGAGTCCCCAGGCTCAGAAAGCCAACAAAAAACCCATAGGAATAAAATGGAATGTCTCTAGACGTTTTTCCACTTGTGTTCACTTGTGTTCACTTGTGTTCACTTGTGTTCGTGTGTGGAAAGGGACAGTTGGGGTGTGATTTGCGTAGCAGAGCCCATTTGACAGCTGATAGGGGTGGAAAATAATCCCAAAGTATTGCGGATTTGTTCACTGATTGTTGATTATTTTCGTGGCAAACTGAGTGGTTCCGAGATCAGACATCATTCGAAGGAAAATGTCAAAGATAGAGGAGGGAAACGCGCACATTCGCGCAGCTGAGAAGAGGTATTGAACGTTGGGAGTAGATTTTGGGAGTGATAATGACGTTTTGATGAAAAATCATCAGGCTGATCATTTTATTTATCTTTCATGAAGCTTGAAGACTACTTTGCTCAAGTGGAGACCGGATTTTGAGGTCGCAGCTGAGGAGTACAACCAAGCAGGTAGAACCACTCCGTTTTATGGAGCAGGAATTCATTTTTAAGCGTGTCATGTATGTTCTTGAAAAATTACATTTTTCAATGTTCACCAAAAAATTTAATCAATTCTTTATTAATAGAGAAATTTCCATGGGACATTGGAATGGAAAATTGACCTTTTTTTAATATTCATAACTCAGAGACTGATTTATCCATTGGGCTTTAAGGGTGTCATGTATGTTCTTGAAAAATTACATTTTTTAAGGGAAGACTACTGTGAGTTTTAAAAGTCGTGGCTTATTGGAGTGAGACTTTTCATACGTTGAAGATCGATTATATAGATCTGAAAACGAGTAATTAGTGCAAAAAAATTTTTTTTTATTGTTCGTTTGCCTGAAAACGCTTAAAATGCTAAAAACACTCCAGGGCCACTTTTTTGGAATTCGACTCCTACACAGCTGATTTCATTTTTTTTTCATGTAAAAAAATTCACTATTTGTGTAAGAAAATACAAAAAAAGCAAATTTAGCCACGTAAGAGCTGAATTAATAAAAAAAACTAGCTGGTCATTGTTATTCCACATATTTTTCAGAAAATTTTGGAAAAAAAAATCATTCGCAGCTCAAAAATTGAGGCCCAGACTGTTTTTGGCATTTTAAGCGTTTTCGGGCAAACGAATAGAAAAAAAATTTTTTTGCACCAATTAATCGTTTTCAGATCTATATAATCGATCTTCAACGTATGAAAAGTCTCACTCCAATAACCCACGACTTTTAAAACTCACAGTAGTCTCCCCTTAATGCTCACGAAAAAAGTTAGTTTCTTCTTCATTAATAGGGGAACTGCCATGGGACATTGTAATTGACTAAAAAGATTTGTTTTTAAATTTTTCATCTTACCCAATCGGCACTCTCACTTGAGAATTAATCGAGACCTTGTTATTAAATTTTTGTTATTAAATTTTATCTTTCTTTGTTGACAATTAAGCCACTTGCTTTCGGATCGCAAAATCCCTGAAGCAATGCAAGGATGCCCTGATTAAAGCTGCAGACTGCTACAAGGAAAATCGATCGTATCCTTTTTTAAACGGTATAGCAAGATGGAATGGTCCTATTTTTACTTGCAATATCTCGAGATTGGCAAAATCTGGCGTCGTTTTGAAGATATTTTTAGGGGCTTCGAAATGAAAACAAAGTTGTCAAATTGGTTCGTTTGTTCATAAGTCATTGCATGTGCAAGAGGATCATTTCACCACGTCCTCATCGGAATGATAATTGAATGAATAAAAATGTGATAATTGTTTTCCTTGACTGTAATCGATGACGTTAAGATGGTTCCACGCTGCAAAGTGAGTTTACAATTCCCTTTTAAGTATTTGAATGGATGTAGAAGGTTTTCCCTTTCATTTTTAGGAGCCTCGAACAAGTGGTGCTGATCTCAAGAGACCTGGGGGAGCTCTCAGAGATCCCAAAACTCGCGCATTCTTCTTGCACGTGGTACCAGCAGCATGGATCACCAGAGTCTGGGGCTACTGTTCTGGATAAAGCTGGCAAAATGATCGAGAACTCCGATCCAGCTGCTGCGTTACCACTGTTTCAGAGAGCAGCTGAGATCGTCATGGTATATTGATTCAATATTAAATTCGTTGATTGAATGGAGAATTATTTTGCTAATAAATGGGTGTGAGGGAAAATTTCGAGAGATAGTTTTCGTTAGAAATTTCAACAACTACAGAAAATATTTCTTAATGTTTTTTTCTAAAATCGCTCATTCCAGAAATATTAAAAGGAATAAATCTCAATTCGATTTTATGTACCAAGTATTTTTAGTTGATACAAACAATTTGACTTATTTATTGCTCGTTCATTATTAATTGAATAATTGAACTACAATTGGTTGTTTCCCTTGATTTTTCCATAAATTTTTAATTTTCAATGATGAAGCTCCTTCAAATTTCAGTGTAAGTGTCGCTTGATAAAAATTTCCAAAAAGTGTACCGTTTTTCGAATAGGGTGAAGACAGTCCAAGACAGGCAGCCGAGTACCTGAGTAGAGTAGCAAAAATCCTAGTGAAACTAAAGAACTACGATGAAGCTGCCAACGCAATTCGAAGGGAAATCAGTTGCCACCAGCGTATCGAGCACATACCATCAGTGGGAAGACTAGCTGTGGTCTTGGTGCTCGTCCAACTGGCCAGAGGCGATCAGGTCGCAGCTGAGAAGGCTTTCAGAGAGTGGGGAAACTACTGTGATGCTCCAGAAGTAAATAAACACCAGAACCTCACCAATTAAATTAATTAATGAGTTGGTTTCCTAAAACTGCTATTTTCGGATTCTAGATTCAAACACTGGAGATGCTGCTTCAGGCTTACGACAACGAGGATGCCAATGCAGCCAGGGCAGCCCTTAACAGTCCATTCATCAAGCACATGGACGTGGAGTACGCGAAATTAGCTAGGGGACTTCCCCTGCCTCAACAGGAGTACGCTGTGCCACCTGCTGGTGTCAGGGCCAATGCTGCACCCCCATACGTATCACCAAATCTTGACAAACCTTCTGCTAGTTGCGAGACTGTCGAGGCTGAGGTTAATCACGTAAGAATTTTCTTAATATGAAACCATCCATTAGCAAAACGATAAAACGCTAGAGCAAGTCGACTTTATAGCTCTCATCTGAGTTTTCGAGGAATATCTCCGAATCTAAGGGAGATAACGAGATTTTCGTAAGGACCTTTTTTGTTGAACGGATCGAGGGCCACAAAAAACGTCATAATCAAAATTTTGCTATCTCCCTTGGATTCTGAGATATTCACAGAAAACTGGACAATAGTTGACATCGACTCAAACCGTATTGTCTGACCAATACAATTCATTAACTAATTTAATTGTCACGTTCCAAGATTATCAATGAGGGTTAGAGGATAATATGAAGATGTATATGAATATATCTTTGGTGTTGACGAAAATAAACATTAACAAAGCTTTCCCCTAAGCTTCATAGATTTCTAGACATTTGAGATACTTTTATCATCATTTAGTTGAACTACTTATAACTTTGTCAAGACCTTTGAAAGGAAGAGGTTTAGAAAAAAATATCAAAAGATCTTTTTTCGTGAAAAATTCATGGGCCACAAAAAACTCTTATGAAATTTTTTTCTAAATCTAATGGTTTCCAAGGTATTTACTAAATACTTTCTTCAAAAATTTCCTGTTCATCTCTCTTTGTGTTGTCTTTCATTAGAGACACAATTGATTTTTCGAAATGATGATTTCTCATTTCAGGACACTCCATCATTAGAGAAAGATCTTGCCTCCACCCATTTATCAAGTGAATCTCCTGAAGACCCCCAAAAGACCCCTGAGACACCCCCCGAAGTGAAAAAAGAGGAAGAGGAGGAGGACGAGTACGCAGGAGGCTTGTGCTGATCCCTCTGCCCACTATGCGAATACCTCCCCATTTGTTCAGTTTATCGAATCATAAAAAAACAAAAAGAAATTATGGCGCATTTTACCCTGCACACGATTGTCATTATCACCTGCAGTTCAGCAAATAAAGACGCTTAGACCTATTTATTCACACGCATTTCAAGTATTAAATGTCGATAGACGATAATTTATTGAGACTCATGTTAAAAATAACGAGACTATTTTCTTGCTGAGGAGTATAATTACGCTGTAGCTGAGTATATTATTCGAACACTTGTTGAATTATTCAAATAAATTGTTCTCGTTTTTTTATTACTATTATTCGGATGAATTTGTCATTCAGCTTGTCTTCGAGATTTTGTTGATGTGTATTTTGTGATGAAGACCGGGGAGACGATGATTATATGTAGGTTAGAATAAACGTCTAAACCTTGAATTCATGCAGATGTTATTAATTCTTACCTTTCGATGCGAAGAAATTGTCCTAGTGTATTTGCCGTACGATTCCTGATCACATTTCAATTATGTTGGACTTCATGACAACACTTTCATTGTTTAGCAATAAAATACGGATTCGACCGGTCAAAAACGCGGGAACACAAACGCGCACTATATACGCAGGAGTGAGGGGACTGTACACTGCCCCTCGCAAAATACCCCCACTCCCGATAATATCCTTCATCCCTGACAACCCAGTAAACAGTGATCCGAAAGTTTGCCATAAAGAAGGCTATTTTGCCGATAAATTGCGGCAAATTGTCGAGTTTTGCTGTCTGGGAAGAATTCAAGGCAAAGTTGAGCGAGCAAAATACCACTGATATTTACCGATTTAGGACCTGTTTTCGGGTCAATCTAGGGGCAGTTTTTAATTTAGGTAACCACGGTTAGACGCTCGACCACAGTTTAAGTTAACTATGCGTTAAGATCTGTGATTGGTTGGGCTCAGGGGGGGGGAGGGTAATGAAAAATCCAATCTAAGTATTTCGCATAAAAAATTTTAGTTTTCGACGAGGACTAATATAGTTAAATCTAGTATAATTTACACCGCAATCGAGTAGAGGAGGATAGGGTAAAGTGGACACTTTAGACTTTTTAAAAATTATTCATAACTCAGAAACAATGTATCAATATTGCGCAGTTCAGGCTCATCACAAAGGGAAAGAATTGTTCTTTGTATTGACAAAAAAATGATTGAAATTCATCAACATTTCAACCCGTCACTAATATTTTTAAAAAAGTCAAAAGTGTCCATTTTACTCCAATCTCCCCTATCATATACTTGAATCAAGTATGTTTCTTTCTTAATTGACTCAGTCCTGGTATACAGTATACTCAATTCGGATATATTTTTTTCCGTCCAAGCCCAAGAAAATACAAACACACAGGGAACAATTTTTACCAATGGCATCTAAAAATCCTCGGCACGACCGGTAAATATCCGGAAATTTACCAGTAAATTGTTAACTGGGCAAGAAAAATTCAAAATTATTATAAAAAGTTGAGGAAAAACTCCCTAATTCTATTGCAATATTCGAAATTTGATTATTCCACTTTTGCTTTGCCAACTTTTGATACCTTAGAAACAATCATGAGGGTCAAACGGGAGACACACAAACGTAAATGCTTTCATCAGAATTTGATTCGTGTGATTCTTGTGATTAGAATTTGATTCTTCTGAGCATTTTCCATATCATGGCGAAAGTTCACCTTGAGGAGCCCCGTGAATTTTTTCAGAATTTGGGAAGACCTACATTGCAAAATTTAGAATGAGAAAGTTCTGAACTTTCTCCGGAGATCACCATTGAGGGCTGAAAATATAATCACGTTTTGCCATATGGTTAAGCCAAAGCGGTAAATTTAGCATAAAGTGTGTGTAAATTTAGATTAGCCGGCTACCATTAAATGTTAGAGGTGTACTATCGCTTTAGGATTTGGTTTTTGGAAGTAGTGTACATCGACCTTAACGTTTAAATCAATTTTGTGTGTTTGAAGAATTCATCTAACAATATTTCAGAGTCCACAAATAGACAACTGAATGATTCTGACGAGTCACAAGTGCACACATTCAACTTTGTGAACGCTGTGTACACCTGCTGCTAAAGTTTGTCGAATTTCATATCAGATCATACGCATTTGAATGGCTTAGAGGCATATATAGTATTGTGAAATGAGGTATTCCATATCAAATGCATCAACCGCTGACCCTCTCAATAGTTGATGGATTTTCTGTCAACTTGAAAAACATCTCCCATTTTTTCAGATTTTCCCTGCCGCCCGTTTTGGAGATAGGGGAGGATGAGGCAAAACGGCCCCCCTTCAATCGTCAATATTTTCCGATTCAATAATCCGATTGGGATGAGTTAGAGCTCGTTTTGAAGAATGAAAAATTATCGTCAAAATGAAGTTGAAACTGGGAATTTTCACAATGTCATTCACAAGTTATTGACAATTGAAAGGGGGCCGTTTTGCCCCACCCTCCCCTATGATTTTTGTGTGTTTTTTCATTTTTTCGATATCTCCTTTTCCCTTCTAAATTCCCGAGTTCTAGTCTTCCGATTCCAATCCATAAAGCACCAAAATGTCCTATTTACTTCCATCTTTGAGAACGTGTAGTTTTTTCCCTTCAATTACTAAATGCCTGCATAGACGAATTTTAAAAATCGTTGTAACACGTGAATTTTGATAATTCCGTCATGCTTCATTTTTTCGATAATTCTTTTTCCCTTCTAACTTTTCAAGTTCTACTCATCCGATTCAAATCCGTAATAGCACAAAATGTTCTATTCCCTGCACTGATAGAATGATTCATTTATTCCAAACGAGATTCGTTAACTATTAACGAATGGTAGAGTTGAATATGACCAAATGAATATTCGTTAATAGTTAACGAATGGTTCACTTGAATGGCGAAAGTCAAGTCAAACAAGGCTCCTCAAATGTACATTCGTTAACTATTAACGAATGAACATTTGGTGGGACCGAATAGACCCAAACCTCCAACAAAAATCCATTCGTTAACAATAACTAATCCGTTCTATCAGTGCGCCATCTTTGAGAACGTGTAGTTTTTTCCCTTCAATTACTAAATGCCCACATAGACAAATTTTAAAAATCGTTGTAAAACGTGAATTTTGATAATTCCGTCATGCTTCATTTTTTCGATATTTCTTTTTCCCTTCTAACTTTTCGAGTTCTATTCATCCGTTTGAAATCCAGAAAGCACCAAAATGTTCTATTCACTGCCATTTTTGAGAACGTGTAGTTTTTTTCTCAATTACTAAGTGCCTGGTCAGACGAATTTTTAAAAAGGATGTAAAACCTGAATTTTGCTAATTTTGGCATGCGTTTGATTTTTCTCATTATCTTCCATCAAACTTCACAATTGAACAAAAGTGTTCCGAACCGTACTAGAAATTAGGCAACATTCTAGATCTCTTCAATTTTCTATCTTGTTTTCCACAATTTCGTGAATTTGATGGGAAATTTCAAAAGCGTCTTTGGTCAATTTCTATTATACATCGATAAAAATGTATGAAATGCAGGTGTTTGAAGAAGTTATCGATACAGATTAAATCATCAAGATGAATCTATTTGCTCTGATATCGTTCTCCATTCTGGCTGCGATTCCGGCAGGACTTGCTGCACCAAAATCTTTAAAAGTTGGTAAGTGTCTTAACGAGCGCGGAAAAAATCTTTTCCATTTGTACACGGACGAAAAAATTTAATAGATAAACCTATCGAATTCGTTAGAAAATTTTATTGAATTTCTATTGAACTATTCTATAATTTTTGGCTGATTCTATTAAAATGTCTAATAGAAAATATTCAGTAGAAAAAGTCAATAGAATTCAATTTTTCTGTATAACTTATTCTATTGAGATATTTTCTATAGAATTTCCTCAGCTCAAATTTTCCAAGTTTTTTCGTTTGATTTTCTTGATGAGACGAAATGAAAAATAGAATAAAAAAACTCAGAAAATTTGAGTCGAGCAAATTCTGTAGAAAATATATAAAAAGAATAAGTCACAGAAAAATCAAATTCTGTTGACTTTTTCTATTGAATGTTTTCTATCGAACATGTCAATAGAATCCGCCAAAAACGAATAGAAAGTTTAATAGAAATTTAATAGAATTTTCTAACGAATTCGATAGCTTTTTCTATTAACTTTTTTCGTGCGTGTATTTCACTACTACTATTGTTACGGTTTTATAGACACCCACTTGGTGGGTATAGACACCCATTTTTACCTCGATTTGTGGCTCCCAACTCCCCGAACTGAAAATCGTGGAGAACCTCAGTAGTACAACCCGACCGATTGGGCGGCACCCTAGTGGAACCTTCTGTCACACTGACCAGAAAGACTCTACTACTTCCTTGTAGGCCACCACACCGTGCCTACCGGTCAGTAGTTTCTGTGCGATTGATGTGCCTCAATGCTCACCCATCCCAGCACTAACCACGCTGACCACTGCTGAGCTTAAGCTACACTTTGTTAACATTAATAAATACTCGAGTTGAATGGAACCGAATGAATAACTTTTCTTAATCCCTCACGGACGGGGCCCTTCTGTTACCAAGCGTAGTGTGTACTCAATACAACTCAAATTCGACTATTTCTAATGAATGGAAAATTATGAAACCGGTATCTAATTGAAGCTAGTATTCCGGTTTCCAATTTTGTTTGTTTGATCCAGTTATTCTTTATAGATTTGGAAATAATCAATTTTGAAAACAAGCGTTCACATTCGCATGAGTCGATCTCATGGATCGACCCCGTATGTAAGGGGTTGAAACTCCGTTGGTGGCATTGCACGGAGAGGAAAGTAGGATAATAATTACCTAGAAAATCGTGGCTGATTTTACTGTACGAATGGTGATCGTCGAGGATATTTTACGATTCGTGCGCTAAAAAAACACATCTATGGTCGCAAAAATTATCCTCGTATACAGTAAAATTTCAGACACGGATAGGGTATTTTTTTTGCACCCACACGGAGAGAAATGTTCAGTAAAAATTACGGAACTCACAGTTCGTTCACGGCTATAGGAATTTTTCACAGGAGATTCAGGTAAAAATAACAGAACGCTCTGGAAAAATTCCGCGATTTTATGTAAAAATTATGCGACAGTTCCGTAAAATTTCCTACAATCACATTTCGCTCTGGAATTACGGAAACAGATAATTTTTATTGAATATTTCTCTCCGTGCATCTGAAGCTCGTGGGGCCGCATGGAAGTGAAATCTTACTGAACGCGTTCGGTAAAAAATCATTCTTCGGAACAAACTATAAACGACATTATACGCAATATTAAGCAATCATTCACGTTCATTGGAATAATTTTCGATGGAATGCAGAGTAAATTTTACCGTTTCGGCATAAATTACCCTCTCGTTCAATAAATATTCCCAGACTAACGGAGAAAAATTCACTATTCGTCTGAATTCTCAAAAAAACTACTCCACTTGAAACTGGCATGAATAATTAATGACAAATTTGAAGGCAAAATGCTTGCAGGATGTTAATAGTTAACAAATGATTTAGTTGACCGCAAAAAAATTGGGCCAAATACACCATTTGTCAATAGTCAATAGTGTTTCCTCATAGTTCATGCTCCTTTCAAATTTCCACGCTTCTCCAACTCTTCATTAACTATTAATGAACGGACCTTAAAATACTTAAGCAAATCGATTGTTAACTATAAATCAATCCTTCAATCAGTGCAAGGTCTTAGTATTACTAGCACAGAAATGTACATTTATTGAAAAACATTTAAAATCTTCTGCGCTTATTTTCATAATAATCTCATTTCCACAGGAGCCATATTTCACGAAGAAGAACATGTCAACTACTTGGCATTTAACAGAGCTCTCGATGAATTACAAAAAGACGCCCTTCTATCGAGTTATCAGCTCGAGCCAATTATCATATGGGTGAATTATACCGCAGATAGCTTCAAGACATATCTTGCCGGCAAGTATGATCTAAAAAACACTAAATAGTCATCGAAGATATTCGTAATTACCATCAGTAATCTGAAATTTAGCTTGCCAACTCATTGAGCAAGGTGTGATAGCGATTTTCGGGCCTGGGAATCCATTCACAAGCAATATCGTCTCCAGTATCACATCAAGATATAATATTCCTCATATAGAATATACATTCAAACGAGTCGATGATTCCCACTTTTCCAATACAACTATCAATGTGTATCCAGATGCAGGAATCATCGCGGAGGTAAACAACAAATTATTCGCGAATGCAGTTGACTTTTACGACTTATAGCTTCGCAGAAAGCATGACAATTGATATTGATCACAGGCCCTCGCAGACCTTTTAGAGAGCATGCATTGGACACAGTTCACTGTGCTGTATGAAACCAACGACGGACTATCACGATTGCAGAAATTATTGGAGAAACATGGCCCGAAGGACTTTCCTGTAACGATACGCCAATTGAACCCAAGTTACGACAAACTGACAAATGAACCGGATTATCGACCTTTGTTGAAAGAAGTGGCCAATTCATCGGATTTCAATATTATTCTTGATGTTAGGCCTCATAATATAAAGAGAATTATAGAACAAGCTCGTGAAGTTAAAATGCTTCAGGAATACTGGCACTACCTGGTCACTGATTTGGTATACCAACGGAGTTATTATAATAAAAAAATATCAAATAACCGTAATTGTGATGATTTAATTTGCAGCATTCTCCCACGGAGATGATGGTGGACGTACTCAACAAATCCAGTGCGAATGTCACAGTACTTCAATTATTGACCGACGAAATTACTGAATATGATCTGACTACGGTAATAATAAAATTATTTGACTTCGTCAAATAATTTTCATAATGTTTTTACTTGCTGGGGTTCATACTAGCTTCGTCTCCGAAAATATCAACGGCCATTAATACCGCAAAATATTTCTTTTTTTATGCACTGCAGGTGGAAAGCGCAGTACTTTTCGATGGAGTTTTCATTCTCAATGAAGCTTTAGAGGTGTTCAAAAAACAAAGCAAGGATGATGAAGATGAGAGTATGGATATTCAGCCAGGATCATATACATGCAGTAATCCTGAAAAGTATGCCGCCGGACTCAGCATAGTGTCTCTCATACGAGGAGTTAGTATATCAATTAAAGATTTTTCACCACAGTGTCCGTAAAATGGCATTTGCACTTTTCGAAACGGTTTAGTGTGCGTAAAGCGGTTGTTTTCTGCACGTCGTAAACAAAAACAAAAAGTGGAGTTTTGCGTACTAGTAACATAATATAATATATTATTTTCTCATACCTGGTTGAAAAGCGCACTTTACGCACAACTGGAAAAAATGTTTCGAAAAGTGAAACATTCACTTCCTTCCTTTTCAGGGAAGTATCACAAAAATGAATTATTACCCAGAAAAATATCAGTAGCGAAGAGGTAAAACGGTACAAGTCAATTTTGACTATTGACCAGTTTTCAATGAATATCTCGAAATCTAAAGGAGATAGCAAAATTTTTGAGCTGCAATAAATGTATTATAAAAATTTCGCTATCTCCCTTAGATTCGGAAATATTACTCAAAACTCAACTGGGCGATAAGTCGACTTAAACCGCTTTACCACTTCGCTACTGATATATATTTCATCACTGTGATTGTATCGAGTGATATTTTCTCTCTAGATAACGACAGATGGAAGTGTAAGTGGACCAATTACTTTTCGTGAAAATGGGGGCAGATCATTCAAGTTGACATTTAAAGAATTTTACAATGAAAGAGTCACTACATCTGGTCATTGGGATGATGGACAGTTAACGGTAATTAGTACTCCAGCAGATCGTGAAGCCCACGCTCAACAAAGCATTGAAAAAAGAATGTTCATAGTCACCACGAGAAAGGTAGATATATCGCATCAATATGCAGGTATCGAACAGCATCGATGCGATATTTTTAATGATTGAATGGTTTTAAGGGAGAACCTTACGTAATGGAAGTATTAGACGGGTCTTCCAGAGGCTCGGCATTTCTGGGCACAACCAAACGTTATGAAGGCTACGCTGTTGACCTCATCGAGGAACTGGCAAAAATACTCAAATTTAGCTACAGTTTTGAACTCGTACCGGGTAATAACTACGGAAATGAGGACCCGAATACGAGACAGTGGGACGGCCTCATCGGTCGCCTTTTACGACGAGAAAGTATCAGTGATTACACGGAGAAAAAAGTTGGCGAAAAATTATGAAACAAATTAAGGATTGACGTAAGCTATTTTCGCGCTATTTTTTACGAGAGTAAATTTTTTTTCATCACGTTGTGACGAAAAGTGGACTTTTAGGCACGCGAATGTGGCGATGTGGCAATTTCCGCCACATTGTGATGAAAAATATTGTTCGTAACTCGTGAAAAAATGTTTTTTAGCTCGTGGGATTATATCACTCGCCTTCGGCTCGTGATATAAACCTCCCACTCGCCAAAAAACACTTTTTTGCACTCGTTACGAAGTATACTATTTTGTCACTGCTGCTACGTTCAGCCCGTGTCGAAAAGTGCCTTTTCGTTTACTAGTAAACGAAAAGTCGAAACTCGGCTTCGCCTCGGGCCGCCAACTTCACACTCGTTGCCACCCCGTCGCACTTTTATCGAAATATACTATTATGGTCAAATATCATGAAACTTCGGCAAATCGTTCTTCGAACAATTATAAGATGATCGATCTATCGCTCAGGTGTCACGGTGTCACCGGATTCCCAAATGAATGGCCCCTCGGGAAAAATTGTTTCGAAAAGTGCACTTTTCAGGCAAGTAGCACAAAAATGATTCGGCATGGGAGCATGTGTGAAACGAACTCTACGCACGAGAATTCACTTTACGCACGCTCGTGAACTTTACACAAAACAACCGCTTTACGCACAATAAACCGTTTCAAAAGGTGCACTTGGAAGGCGAGTATTAAGAAAAGGATCTTTTACTAAATTACATTGCGCTCCATGATCATTTAATTTACAGTAAAATGTGCCAAGATTTTGTACACAATCTTTCTCCAACGTTTCTCTCCGTGACAATCCTGCCCACTGGCCAGAATTAATAATAATTGATATTTCAGGAAGCAGATTTGGCAATATGCGATCTCACGATAACAAAAGCACGAGAAACCGCTGTAGATTTTACAATGCCATTCATGGATCTGGGTATAAGTATTTTATTCGCTAAATCAGAGACTAAAGAGCCGGAGCTTTGGTCGTTTCTTTCACCATTCTCTGCTGATGTTTGGATATACGTGACAACAGCTTACGTTTCTGTGTCCGTCTTGCTTTTCGTGCAAGCGAGGTATCACAGTTTCACGTTATTCACACGGAGAGAAATTTTTTAGGAAAATTCTAGTGTTAGCACGGGAAAAGAGGCACAAAGTGATAGCTAGAAAAAAATTCCAGTGCCAGCACTAGAAATTTTATTGGGGAAAACGCGAATTTTCCCCCGTATTTCTGTGAAAATTTCACAGAAATCCCCAGAAATTTTACCAGAAATACCAAGAAATTTTACCTTAACAGCACTAGAATTTTTCACAGCTGGTGGATTGTGATTTTTTCCAGTACTCGTACTAGAATTTTTCTAGAAAATTTCTCTCCGTGCATTACAATCACCGGATATATTTGAGGAGGAATCGATTCAATAATGAGATTTTCCTTGAAGGATGGCTCCTGAAGAGTGGATTGCTCCTCAACCTAGTAGTACTGAGCCTGAAGAACTAGAGAACAGTTTTGACCTGATGAATTCAATGTGGCTGACTGCCGGGTCGCTTGTACAAGCTGGTTCAGACATTCTTCCTAGGTAAAAAAAAATCTAAAAAAACAGGGAAGAGTGAGCAAAGTGAAACAATGGTACTTCTGCATTGTTTTTTACTTTTGTCGATCGTCTTGCGGGTGTTGTGGCTAGGGTTCGATGCAGTTTAGACAACCGCGGGGTCAAAATTCTCAAGCAATCACCTGTTATCCCCATTTTACCCCAGTATTTCCCCTACATGAAGAGCTATAAAAAGGAATGATTCGTCAAGGTACACTTTTATCCTTTCATTTATTCGAATTATAAAAAATTCAGGGCCCCGTCAATCCGCATGGTAGCAGGCATGTGGTGGTTCTTCGTCCTCATAATGGTATCTTCTTACACTGCGAACTTAGCTGCCTTTCTCACTGCCACAAAAAAGGATGTATCCATTGGTAGTGTCACAGAACTCGCTGCCCAAACGAAAATCAAATATGGAGCTATAAAAGGTGGTTCAACTGCTGGATTTTTCAAGGTGAATCGATATAATCATATACTGTTGAAAAAATTTTGCTGAACTTTTCGGAAAGACACCGTGAATTCGATTTAAGGGGAAAGAGCGAATGGAATTTCAAGTTTCTCTGAAAATTGAAGAAAAGGCCAACTTTTTTAGCGGCAGAAGGACGGAAATTGCACAATTTATATGAATTTTCGAGTGAAAATGAATATTCACTGCCAAATTCCCTTGGATTTTCAGGGAATTCCTTTAGAATTCATGGAATTGCAGGAATTTTTGAAGGCTCCTGAAGAGTGGATTGCTCCTCAACCTAGTAGTACTGAGCCCTGATACCCTGGAAATTCATAAAAATCTCTCCTGGAATTCCAAATTCCTCTGGAATTCCTGATTTCTCATTAATTTCCCCAGATAATTTAAACTGAAATTCACAGTTCTCACAGATTTTTCCATGAAATGATGAATTTTCAATGACAAAATTCGTTGAAATTTCAGTGGAAATGTTACTTGTTAGAAATTTCCAAGACCTTACCGAAAATTTAAGTGAAAAATTGTCAACAATATATGTTATCTGCCAACATAGCTGTGAAATACACATTGAGATAATTTCCCACAGGGTTCGAATACCTCAATATATCAAAGGATGTGGGCAGCAATGAGCGAAGCGAAACCAAGCGTCTTCCCCAAGAACAATGACCAAGGTGTGGAAAGAGTTGCTAAGGGGAAACAAACTTACGCTTTTCTCATGGAATCAACTGGCATTGAGTACGCTATAGAGCGCAATTGCGAGCTGATGAAGGTCGGCGACCTACTTGACAGCAAAGGATACGGAATTGCGCTACCACCCAGTACGCTGAGATATTTTTCCTGACTGACGTTATCCGTCTGTTCAAATGATTCCCTCAATCTTGACGAGATCGATTTTCAGATTCACAGTACCGCACTCTATTCAGTCAAGGCATCCTCAAACTTCAGGAGAGGGGTATCTTACGTCAGTTGAAAGAGAAATGGTGGCTGCAGGGTAGTAAAAACTGCACTGCCAATGAACCAGAACCGTCTTCGGGGGAACTCAGTATGGCTCACGTTGGGGGCGTTTTCTTGGTTTTCATATTCGGCCTTTTCTTGGCTTTTGTTTTCGCAGTATTTGAATGCGTATGGAATGTGCGGAAAATTGCCGTTGAGGAGAAAGTGAGTATTTTATGTAAACGATAGAAACATGAGGTAAAAATGGGTTAAATGGTAGATGGAGAGATTAGAAATCTCTCCATTCTTTATTCTATTATTCTATTATTCTTTATTGTATTATTCTTTAGAAAAATTCTAGTGCTGGTACCGAAAAAAATCCCAATCCACCACACACGAAAGAATATTTAATGGAAAAACTTAGCGAATTCGTTACAAAATTCTATTGGATTTCTATTGAATTTTCTACTATTAGTTTTCGGCCGATTCTATTGAAATGTTAAATAGAAAATATTCAATGGTAAAAGTCAATAGAGTTCGATTTTTCGATATAATTTATTCTCTTCAGATGTTTTCTATAGAATTTCCTCGGCTCAAATTTTCTGTTTTTGTTTTTTCATCCTATTTTTCTGTTTTTCTCATCAAGAAAATCAACCAAAAAACTTTGTAGAAAATATTTCAATAGAATAAGTTATATAGAAAAATCGAATTCTTCTGAATTTTTCTGTAGAATATTTTCTATTGAACATTTCAATAGAATCGATCAAAAACTAATAGAAAGCACAATTGAAATCCAATAGAAGTGTCTTGCGAATTCGCTAGGTTTCTCTATTAAATTTTTTCATCTGTGACCGGCTATGAAAAATTCTAGTGCTACTAAGGTACAATTTCTAGGCGATTTCGGATCAAATGACTGGGAATTTCTGTGAATATTTCATATAAAAACGGGAAAAACTCCAGTGCCGGCATCGGAAATTTGATTAAGTAGCATGTGAATTTTTCCATAGCCGTCACTTTTTCCCGCGCTAGCACTAGTCTTTCTAGAGAATTTTTCTCCCTGTAATATTCTGAAATTACTCGCATTATTTCAGATCACACCTCTTGCGGCATTTATTGAGGAATTCAAATTTGCTGTGAATGTCACCGCGTCGAAAAAGCCTGTAAACATATCAAAATCGGGCCAAAGTAGTCGTAATTCAGGTGAACAATCAGTCAACGCAGCGGCTAGCGAACGCTCAAAGGGAGGATCCTTTCTTGAACTGGATACTTTGGGTAACAAGAATAAACAACAAAGAGAGTCTGAATGAATGGTCATTCGTAACGATGACGATGTCGTGCAGAAACAATCATCAAAAGTTTACGCACAGATCTCCACGGATCTACCATTTCTAAAATTTGAATAATAGCAATACTATGATAAGTGTAAATCAATCATATTGATTGAAAAAAATGTCAGTAAAGACATAAATGTGCATAAGACATGAATCTCCTAATCTTGTCAGTTGGTTTTTCTTAATGCAATTTCCCTTTTCTTCGTCTATTGTAATTCGTAACTCATTCCTTTATTTAATTTTGTTTGTGAGGGCTGTTTTTGTCGGAAATTCCCGGTACACTTTTTGGCAATTTTTATCGAATTTAATTATCACTGAAATTTCAAGGTATTTCGTCATTGAAAATTCAGAATTTCGTGGAAAAATCAAAGAGAGCTGTAAATTTCAGTTCCATTTTTTCCTGAAGATGAATAGAAAACAAGAAAATTTCGCCATTTCATATTTCACTGAAAATTCAATGTAATTGAGCATTGAATATTCATATTAGATTGGAAATTCAAATAAACTAAGGAATTCTCGTTTGTATGCGGCTGAAAATTGTGAAATTTTACTGAATTTTCAGTGAAATCGGAAATTTCATAAGTTTTTCCCCTAAATCGTATTCAGTGTTACTGTCATGAAAATTAGTAGTCAACTGTCCGTGCAATTTCATTTTTATTCTATTAGTGTATGAGGTAGAAAACTTTTTCGCGATTTAACCGAGCAATGCGAGGTTGAAGTGCACGGAGAGAAATATTGAATAAAAATTACGTATCTTTTCCGTAATTCCGGAGCGAAATGTGGTTGTAGAAAATTTTACGGAACTGTCACCAAATTTTTCTGGAGCGTTCCCTAATTTTTATCTGAATCGCCTGCGAAAAATTACGATACCGTCACTTAAATTTTCTGATTCAATTCCGTAATCGATGAGTGAGTTGTGAGTTCCGTAATTTTTACTGAACATTTCTCTCCGTGTGGCGGTTTATCGGGCCTAGCGATGAAATAGTATATTTCATCATCAGGTCGAAAAAAACTTTTCTAGCGAATATGAGTTTGCAGCCCGAGCCGAAGGCGAGGAATGACAAAAAGGTAATTTTGTCGGTCTCTACTGACAGGTATAATTATTACGTTGACCTTAGCATATCTCCAAACAGCAAAAACCACTCTACTCACCGCTATTCATCAGATATATTCTTTTGAAATTGAAGTTTCCGTCTTCTGGATAGTTTCATATTCCACTCGTCAATATATGTTGTTGACGCTTTCCGCCAATTTTCGATAGTCTCCATGTCGTACCAAGAATCAATCTCCAATATCCACGTGAATTGGGAAAAACCCAAATACTCAAAATTAGAATTTGGAGAGTTCTATGCTTTCGCAGGAAATGATCATGAGGGAGTGCAAATATGACTAGGCCAAATCGCTAAATTTAGAATCCTTAACTTGTTAGACTCCCACGGAATGTTAGAGATGCAGTATAGATACACGACTGCGTCTTCAGAAGTAGTGTACATCGACCTCAATGTTTAATCAAATGTTGTGTTCCTCAAGAAATCACGTAATAATATTTCAGTCTTCTAACGCGCCGCTGAATGGTTCTGACGAGTATCAAGTATATACTCTTATCCCTTTCAACATTATCTATGTGTGCAAGTGAAGAGCTTCATATCAGATCATACTTATTTGAATGACTTACAGGTATATCCATGATCCTTATATAGACTGAGTCAACGCGATGACTCTATTTGCTTTGGGAGTATTCTTCTTCGTGACTGTCATTCCTACGGGATTTGCTGCACCAAAATCCTTAAAAGTTGGTGAGTGCGTCTCAACTGGCGCGGGAAGATATATTTTTATTTAAAAAAAATCTAGATCCCTGATGACCATAATTCCCTCTTGCTCTAATTTTACGGTGAGTGGAATTTAAACGTTTCATTCTTCCATAGGAGCCCTGTTTCACGAAGAAGAACAAGCCAACTACTTGGCATTCAACAGAGCTCTCGATGAAATACAAAAAGACGCACTTCTATTGAGTTATCAGCTTGAGCCAATTACCGTATGGGTGAATTGCAGCACAGATAGCTTCAAGACATATCTTGCCGGCAAGTATGATCGAAAAAACACTAAATAGTTATCGAGGATATTCGTAATTACCTTCAGTAATCTCAAATTTAGCTTGCCGTCTCATTGAGCAAGGTGTGATAGCGATATTCGGGCCTGGGAATCCACTCACAAGCAATATCGTCTCCAGTATCACATCAAGATATGATATTCCTCATATCGAATATATATTCAAACGAGTCGATGATTCCCACTTTTCCGATACAACTATCAATATGTATCCAGATGCAGGAATCATCGCGGAGGTAAACAACAAATTATTCGCGAATGCAGTTGATTTTTACGACTTATAGCTTCGCAGAAAGCATGACCATTGATATTGATCACAGGCCCTCGCAGACCTTTTAGAGAGCACGCATTGGACACAGTTCACTGTGCTGTATGAAACCAACGACGGACTATCACGATTACAGAAATTATTGGAGAACCATGGCCCGAAGGACTTTCCTGTAACGATACGCCAATTGAACCCAAGTTACGATAAACTGACAAATGAACCGGATTATCGAACTTTGTTGAAAGAAGTGGCCAATTCATCGGATTTCAATATTATTCTTGATGTTAGGCCTCATAATATAAAGAGAATTATAGAACAAGCCCGTCAAGTCAAACTTCTTGAGGATTACTACCACTATCTGATCACGGATTTGGTATACCAACAGAATTATTATTAAGATTTAACAAATCAAATGACGATAATTGTGATCATCTTATTTGCAGCATTCGCCCACAGCCATGATAGCGGAAATTCTCAACAAATCGAGTTCAAATGTGACGGTCCTTCAATTATTAACCGACGAAATTACTGAATATGATTTGACTACGGTAATAATCGAGGATAAGTCAACAAAGATCGTTGTTGAGAGTGAACCCGGCTATATAAATATCAGAAATATTTATGGTTATTGATACGGTAATAGTATATTTCGATATGCGTGCGGAAAAAGGGTTTCCCCAGGAATATTAAACCCTTTTCGCATCACAATGCGTCTAAAGTGGGGTTTTGCGCGTTATTAGTATATTGTGTTACTAGTGTGTAAACTTGCACTTTTGTCTTGCACTTGCCCGCACAGGTTACACATACTATTTTTTGTGATACCTACCTAAAAAATGGACTTTTTGACACGGTTAAGTGTGCATAAAATTGTTTTCCGCATGGCGTGAGTAAAGTTAACTTTATTCCATTACCGTTCCGAACACTAAACTGTAGTAACGATAGGATGTGTTACACGTGCGTGCAAAAAAAGGGATCTTTACGCACTAACAACACGATCTACTAAATTGTTTTTTGCATGGGGTGCGTAAAGTTCAACGTTGTGTGTAAAGCAAATTTCAAGCGCGTACACGGAGAGAAATTTTGTAGAAAAATTCTACACTGTTAAAAAAATTCAACCGAATTTTCTAGAAAATGACACTGAATTCCATTTAACGGAAAAAAGTCTATGAAACTTCAAGTTTCCCTGAAAATTCAAGGAAATTCTTGATTTTTCAGTGGAAGAACCATGAAGATTTCGAAATTTCCAGGAATTCTCAATGTAAACATAATAATTCAATAAGAAATTGCTCTGAAATTTAAAAAAATTGAAGATTCAAGGACATTTTTGCTTGAATTTTCCTAATTTCCATTCATTTTCATGGAATAATTTAACTGAAATTTAAAATTTCCATGAATTTTCCACGAAAACCACGAATTTTCAATGGTAAAATTTTCTGAAATTTCAATGAAACCGTCACTTGCTTTATATTTCAAGACTAAAGCCTGGAAACTTAGTGAAAAATTTTTAACAGTGTAGTACGAGTACTGGAAAAAATTACAATCCACCAGCTGTGAAGAATTCTAGTGCTGTTAAGGTAAAACTTCTTGGTATTTCTGGTAAAATTTCTGGGGATGTCTATGACATTGTTATAGAAATACGGGGAAAAATTCACGTTTTCCCCAATAAAATTTCTAGTGCCGGCACTGGAATTTTTTTCTGGCCATCACTTTGCGCCTCTTTTCCCGTGCTAGCACTAGAAATTTTCTAAAAAAATTCTCTCCGCCTAAAGTAAATATCGTTTTGCACTTACTCAAATATCGTTTTCCCACCCGCTGCAGGTGGAAAGCGCCGTAATTTTTGATGGAGTTTTTGTCCTCAATGAAGCTTTAAAGCTGTTCAAAAAACAGCGCGAGAATGATGAAGATGAGGGTGTGGATATTGAGCCAGGATCATATATCTGCAGTAATCCTGGGAAGTATGCTGCTGGCCTTAGCCTAGTGTCTCTCATGCGAGGGGTTGGTATATCAATGGAAGATTTTTCGTTACTCTGATATACTGGCTGATATTTTTCCTCCAGATAACGACAGATGAGAGTGTGAGTGGGCCAATACTCTTCCGTGAGGGTGGTGGCAGATCCTTCAAATTGACATTGAAAGAATTTTACAATGAAAGAATTTCCACGTCTGGTTACTGGGATGATGGAGAAGTGACGGTTATTGGTACTCAAGAAGATCGTGAAGCACAGGCGCAACAAAGCATTGAAAAAAGAATATTCACAGTCACCACGAGACTGGTAGGTATATGATGTTAGAGTAGAGTCTTGCAAGTTGCAGCGAAGGGGCTGTAGGGGAACCCATTTCCACGAATTCGGGAGCTTCCTATACACCGAGAAAAAAAAAGTTTTTATTTTTCGAGACATGTCACTCATTTTTAGGAATCAATCTCCAATTATTGGCGATACTTAGCGCTGACTTGAATAAGCCTGATCACCACTGATTTCTATCACTGAAATTTGGTGATAGATTCCTAAAAATTGGGCATGGGCTCCTGAAAATCAGCGACATTTCCCTGGAAATTAGTGACAATGTCACTGAAAATTGATGATAATGTCACTAAAAATTTGTGCGAGTCACTTAATTCCAGAATTTCGCTCTCTTTGAATTTCGCAATCGCGAATCCCTAATAATTGGAGATACATTCCAAGTTTTTAGAAAATTTTGAAACCAATTTTTTGCGCCTGTGTTTCATTTCGGTAGACACTGAAACACGATAAGGTAGAAAGGTATTGCATCTATCGAGAGGCAACTGTAATACACAGTTTTCGAACAGTATTGACAGGAATCATTGATTGGTTTTAAGGGAGAACCTTATGTAATGGAAGTGACAGACGGGTCTTTGAGGGGAACGGCATTTATAGGCACAAATAAACGTTATGAGGGCTATGCTATCGATCTCATCGACGAACTGGCGCAATTACTCAAATTTACCTACAATTTTGAGCTTGTGCCGGGTAATAACTACGGAACTGAAGATCCGGAGTCGCGACAGTGGGATGGTCTCATCGGTCGTCTTTTACGACGAGCAAGTATCAGTGAATACAATATTATCCAATAGCTGAAATTAGTAAAGTACTGAATTTCGTCATTAGACCGAAAACAACTTTGTGTCATTCCGGCCGTACACTGATAAACTGATTCATTTATTCCAAACGAGATTCGTTAACTATTAACGAATGGTAGAGTTGAATATGACCAAATGAATATTCGTTAATAGTTAACGAATGGTTCACTTGAAAAGTGAAAATCGAGTCGAACAAGACTCCTCAAATGCGCATTTGTTAACTATTAACGAATGAACATTTGGTGGGAGCGAATAGACCCTCGTCTCCAACCAAATCCATTCGTTAACAATAACTAATCCTTTCTATCAGTGTAATATAGCGCTTATGACAAAAAATATCGCTCGTCACACGGCCTAAAAAACTTTCCTGCTCATATAGTTCGACTTCAGTTCGGGCTGCAAACTCATATTCGCCAGAAAAGTGTTTTCGGCCTTATGACGAAATATACTATTTCGCGTAGCGTCCGTGAAGCCCTGCCGTACGGCCGGAATGACAAAAATTAATATTTCAGGAAGTAGATTTGGCAATATGTGATCTCACGATAACAAAAGCTCGAGAAAGTGCAGTTGATTTCACAATGCCATTCATGGATCTTGGAATAAGTATTTTATTCGCTAAATCAGAAACCAAGGAGCCGGAGCTTTGGTCATTCCTTCGGCCATTCTCTGTGGATGTTTATATATACTTGGCTACAGCTTGGGTTTCCGTGTCCCTGCTGTTTTTCTTGCAAGCAAGGTATCGCAGTTTCACATTATCCATTACAGTCTTCAGATATATTTCGCAAGTAATGAATCCAATGATGGCATCTTCTTTGAAGGATGGCTCCTGAAGAGTGGGTTGCTGATCGACCTTCTAATTCTGAACCCGAGGAACTGGAGAATAGTTTTGACCTGAAGAACTCACTGTGGCTGACTACTCCATCGATTGTACAAGCGGGTTCAGATATACTTCCTAGGTAAACGGTTTTCCGAAAAGTATATGAGACATTACCCTTAGTGACCTAATAATGGAACGTATTGCTTTCAACAACTTAGAAGTATTGTTAAGTGGATAATTTTGGCTTCAGAGAAAGTACACTGAGAAAAAATTTTTCTAATATCTGAAACATATTTTCTTGAGACAAGTAAATTTTCTTCAATTGCTTCATCCTCTCAGGCATCTCAACTCACATGGCCCGAGAAAAGCCTCATGCCTTAAAATATTCTTGTACTCAAGTATAATTTTGTTGTAAATGAACTTACTTAAATCGCGCAGAAGAATCGTCAATCTTCTAGTCTTTATTGTTTTCATGATTTTTTCGTTATGCACTTCCAATATTGCAATATGGAAAATATTCATGACGTAACGCGGAACGATAGTGATGAAAGAAAATTTATTCGAGTTCCGTGAAGTGCACACATTCTGAGATTTAAGCCATTGAAAATAATTTACTTCTCTCAAGAAAATATGTTTCAGATATTAGAAATTGTTTTTTTCAGTGTATACAACCCATAGTCTCCATTTAACTTTGTTCATCACAGCAAATATATAGGCTCACACGGATTTTCGGCTAAATATAACACGGATTCCATAACCGGGTCACTGCAGTATACGCTTTGCATTAACAACAATATATCAACACCTCATCAACAGAGCTTAATAATAAGCGTATCTACATAGGGAACTCATAAAATTTACGCTTGTCTGTTATTAAGGTGTCGATAAGTGTATACTTCCGCATGAAAAGTGCTCACTTTGTCTTCCTTTTCTTCTGTCAGACCATTCTTGTCTTTCAAGGAATATCTCATTTCGAAAAAGGACATCACCTTTTCATTCAGTAACTTCCTCCTTAGCCCGAAGAGCACCGATTTCTTGTCTGAAACCCAACATAAATTGATCAACTACACGGAGAGAAATATTCAATAAAAATTGCGTATCTTTTCCGTAATTCCGGAGCGAAATGTGGTTGTAGGGAGTTTTACGGAACTGTCACGGAATTTTTCCGGAGCGTTCCGTAATTTTCATCTGAATCTCCTGTGAAAAATTCCGATACCGCACTGAGAGAAAAATCTGAAGTTCAATTTACAATAAGAAAATAGTTGAGGCATTTTGGTGAACGATACGATTTTTTTTTGTATGCGGCACATAACATTATACTAACTTCACAAGCGTAATTTTTGCAAATCAAAATGCAGTTGAACTAACCCAAGTTCAAAAGTAACCACGACAAATCTATCGTGAGGAGAACTATAAAATAGTTGCAATGACTACATTCCATGGTAGTAATTACTTCTCCGGCCATAGTTACCGTAACCCATGAAAAATTGTTGAGGACTTTTTGACTATAATTCGATGGTGATGGAATATAGTCAGAAGAATTATATTTTTCTCTCAGTAGATTCCGTAATCGGTGAGTGAATTGTGAGTTCCGTAACTTTTACTGAACATTTTTCTCCGTGTATGCATGCGATGTTTTTCGCTCAAGCATTGATTTTTGTGATATTATGACGATTTTTCTCTTAGTGTATGATCCGTCACTGTGAGCTTTCGCAGTGACTTCCCTTTTCATTTCTTTCAACTTTGATTAACAATTTAGGGCCGATTCCACTCGTTTGGCAGCATCTATGTGGTGGTTCTTCATCCTTATAATGGTATCTTCTTGGACTGCGAACCTAACTGCCTTTCTCACTGCGACGAAAAAGGATGTATCTATCAGTAGTGTGACAGAACTCGCTGCCCAAACTAAAATCAAGTATGGAGCTATAAGAGGCGGTTCAACAGCCGGATTTTTCAAGGTGAACTCCGCTCACGCGCTCAAATCGACCGCTCAGCTCCGCTTGACTGCAGCAAGCGGGGCTCGAGCGGAGAGATCTCTACATGGCGTTTTTCATTTGCCAATAGGATTGTGGAACATAAATTGGGACAATTTTCGATAGGGTTCGAATACTACAATCTATAAAAAAATGTGGGCAGCAATGAATGAAGCAAAACCAAGCGTCTTCACTGAGAAAAATGAGGAAGGTGTTGAGAGGGTTGATAAGGGAAAGAGAACTTATGCTTTCCTCATGGAATCGACTGGTATTGAGTACGCTATAGAACGAAATTGCAATCTGGTGAAAGTCGGCGACCTGCTTGATAGCAAAGGATACGGAATTGCTCTGCCGCCTAGTACGTTGAGATATTTTTTGTCATTGCATTATGAAAAAAATATTCGTCAATCTGCCGAAAGAAATTTTTCCGGCGAATATGAGCTTGCAATCCGAGCCGAAGGCGAGGACAGCAATCATATCAGCTATAAAAATTTACGCGAAAGCTTTTTTCATCACTTATGGGTAAAGTGAAATTTTACGCACACTCATATCAAAATAGATTACTTTTGGCTTAGTGACGGAATATACTATTTTCAGGCATGAAAAAAATTAATAGAAAACCCTAATGAAGTCGCTAGACAATTCTATTGGATTTCAATTGAACTTCCTATTAATTTTTGGCCGATTATATTGAAATGTTCAATAGAAAATATTCCACAGAAAAAGTCAATAGAATTAGATTTTTCTATACAACTTAGTCTATTGAGATACCGTCTATAGAATTTCCTTGGCTCAAATTTTCCAAGTTTTTTGTTTGATTTTCTTGATGGAAAGAAAAGAAAAATAGAATGAAAAAACTTGGAAACTTTGAACCGAGGAAATTCTATAGAAAATATCTCAATAGAACTGGCTAAAAATTAAGAGAAAGTTCAATGGAAATCCAATAGAACTATCTACCGAATTCGCCAGGATTTTTTATTAAATTTTTCCATACGTGTCTCGTTTCACATGATCCCCTTAATCTTCAAGAAATCGATTTTCAGATTCACCGTACCGCACTCTTTTCAGTGAAGGCATTCTCAAGCTTCAGGAGAGGGGTATCTTGCGTCAATTGAAAAACAAATGGTGGTTGCAAGGTAGTAAAAACTGCACTGCCAATCAACCACTACCGTCGTCGGGTAGACTGACTATGGTTCACGTTGGGGGTGTTTACTTGGTTTTCATATTCGGCCTTTTCTTGGCTTTTCTTTTTGCAATATTCGAGTGCATATGGAATGTACGGAAAATAGCCATTGAGGAAAAAGTGAGTGTTTAGATGTATAATAGGCAGAAATGGAGTGTAATAGGCGTGAATTGATTTCAGATCACACCACTTGAAGCATTCATCGATGAATTCAAATTCGTTGTGAATGTGACTGCCCACACTAAGCCCGTTAGAAGATCAAAATTAGTTAATAGCAGTCGCAGTTCGACTGAAGGATTTGCTACTGCGGTAGCTGCGAAACGCTCGATGGGAGGATCATTTCTTGAATTGGATATTTTGAATAGCACAGATAGCAACAAACAAAATCCGAATAATATGACTGATCATACGGAGTAATAATTATACCTTGCAAAAGCAATCATCGCAGGAATGTATTTCCCTGCATAAAAGTACTAATCTCTTCATTTGTAACTACACAACAACAGTTATGAAGGGCTGACAGGCGGTTGTTTGCTGTCCGATTTTCAACCTTCTATTTTTCATTGGCTAAATTATCTCTGTCACAACCCTGGGACAACTAATGGGTTGAAAATAAGAATAAATAAATGCTCTGATCAAGGCATTGGTTCTGATCAAGGCGAAGCGTTGGAGATTAGCGAAAGAATTTATTTTTCTACTTTTCCCTTTGTTTCGTTAATTATGTAAAATTGCTGTGATGATCATTAATGATTGAATAGCAACGAGAGTTAAAGGCTAAGAAGTAAGATAAATGAAAACGGTTGGAATAATTATGGGGCATTTAAATTTCTTTGAAAGATCACATTTAATATAATGGTTCCTCAATTAGATGGACGGGTATCCCCACCGGCATCTCCTTCAAACGGCACGGTAATTAGTAAGAAATATATAATTAAGGTATTTAAAATTAAATTCAAAAGCGAATGGTAAGTCATTAATAAAGGATTTCCTAATTGTTGTTGTGTAGTTAGATAAATACTATCACTTAAATATCACCACGAGTGTTCGATCACATCTCCATGGATGTATTATAGCTGAAATTGAAATGATAACGAAAATTACGAGACTAAAAACTTCGCGATGCCGCAATACGAATTGACACAATATTGGCATCACTATCGTATTGTATGAAAATTACTGTTAAAAGTATCGTCTCGTATTGTCTTCATATCGAATTCAATGTAGGCGAGTAGATTGCTCTATAACTTTGTCATAGTATAGCTATTTTCGCCAATAAATGAGCAATATGCTTCCAAATAGACATTTATTTGTCTTTGAATAAAAATAGAAATAATTTATGTGAAAAACTGCAGAGATGCATTCAGAAAGTTTATTCTAAACATTTCCCTTCCATCATCAAGTTCCTGTCTCGATGCAAAACTAAAAAAAAGTTCTTCTGAAATAACAAAATGAAAGGACTAACGAATCAAAAAATCTTTTGGATGAACAAAGACTAATAAAAGATTTGGGTACTGAACGAAATCAGATCCCAAATCATATTATTATGTGTTAATAATATTCATAGAAATGAATAGACTTTTTGTACAAAACAAGATCATTTAATAGAAAGTTTCATCGACGTATAATCAACTCACCGATTGATTCCAAATTCTTCTCACGTAAAATTCGCGCAGATAATAAAAAAACTAGAGAATTCGTTCGATTCCATAGTCCCGTAGTGAAAATATGAAAATATCTTCAATCAACATCCATTTCCTCTTCACCATCACTATCACTTTCATCTTCACTTGAATCCTCTTCAGACCCTGAGGAGTCTGAATCCAACCACACTTGGGATGAGACATCATCTTCAATGATTTTCTGCCATTCCTCCAACTTATGGAGATCTGAAATAATGAATAAATCGATGGGAATTCACATCGCGAATGTGTCAGAGTCATATCACTAGAGGGGTGGGTGACAAAAATGACCGGTCAAATGATCGTCAATGACCACCGCGCGGAGAATCTGACCATATGGTCAGAAAAAAAAATGACCATCGTCCATAAGCATGAAATGACCAAATAAATTTTGGGCCGTGACTATTCGCACCATTGCGTGAATCACTCCCGTACACTCCACGCATGCGTGAAGTTTGTGTGTTTCACGCAGTCGAAGTTTTATACACCTGTGTTTCACGCAGTCGAAGTTTTATACACCTGTGTTTCACGCAGTCGAAGTTTTATACACCTGTGTTTCACGCAGTCGAAGTTTTATACACCTGTGTTTCACGCAGTCGAAGTTTTATACACCTGTGTTTCACGCAGTCGAAGTTTTATACACCTGTGTTTCACGCAGTCGTATTCAGATACTCCTGTGTATTTCACACTCCTATGTGTATAAAGACACAGGTGTATAAAACTTCGACTGCGTGAAACACAGGTGTATAAAAATACAACTGCGTGAAACACACAGG